AGATAGAATGGATACAATCGATTCATATCAAAGGTGAATGTATTGTGAATGTCTTCATACATTATATTACTGTGGTTTTATCCATATAGCAGTAATATAAAATGTTATATATTAATGCAACGAATTATATATCCAATAGAGTAATATATTAAACATTAAAATATAGTAAACCATATTTATATATTATATAAAGCCCATTAATATATTAACAAAAAAATATATTTTATTTGCATTTAGAATAAAATTAAAATGCTTAAATTTGATAACTTATAGTAGATGTACCAAGCAAACCACAATGCCGTCAATTAGTTCATTGGAAACGTTATAGTTTTGTCTTCGATGGTTTCATTACCACGAGTTGTAATCGATTAATTTAAAAAACGTGAAAGTATTGCAGTAAATTAAAAACATAATTAAATAACTAGTTATATTCAAATATATTTGAAAATTTTAATTTACAATTCTAAAGAATGATTCGTTAACTTTCGTATGCTACTAAAATCATTAACATTGCTCAATTAATAAAAAAGTTATTAAGCTTTAATTTGTCCGCGGTTTTTACGAATCAAATCGCAAATCCCCCTCTTGAATCTCGAAAATGACGTAAAATTTCGATTTCTACCAGGAGACCATGAGTAGCGAGGAGGTATCTGAGCTCCTAGCATCGGTCGTTTCTGATTGGTTGTAATTTGAATTTTTGAAATTTACGTTTGTGTGAGTGAGCAAACTGTCATTCTGACTACCTACCTTTGATATGTTGCTAACAGATGGCGCTAGCTTTCACAAAAACAAAATAGTTATTTTGCAGGCAACCAAACATACATATATCTTTGGTGATCAAATTTGGAGACATCTATCGCCGTTCTATGTCAATCCGAGCCACTAGTCGGAATTTTTACGAACTTCAAATATGAAGAAAATTCAAACCAAACTTAAAAAACATTGGAAAGCTACTAGGTTTTCTTAGATAATAAATAAACATATTTATAAATAAAGTATTTATACTTGTTATTACTTTTTTAAATTACTTATTTATGGTATTATTATTTTTTAATTATGTAAAAATGTGATACATGCAGAGCCATCTATACTATTTTCTATAAAAGTTATTATTGCGCGTCTGTCACTGTTGTCAGATTTGACAGAAGAACGGACGTACTAAATATTTTGTTTTGAAAACAAAGTATTTTTGATGAGAGCACGCAGTAGAGTTGCAACGGCCAGAAGAGCTTTAATCGAAAGAGTCCTGCCTTCCTGAGAAGATGTCATTCAACAAACATGTCTACAGCGTCAGATTCAATCAAGATCAAGGTAAGATTTTAATATTCTCAGCACATGATGATAAACAATATGCTAAATATATCTTGTTGTTGCTGTTATGTTCATCACAGGCTGCTTCGCAAGTTCCATGGAAACTGGATTGCGTATTTACAATGTAGAACCACTGGTAGAGAAAGTACATTTTGGTAAGACATATTATGATTACTCATTTTGCACACTTTGCTAATTTTAATTTTCTATTCTTGAAGATGTGGAATTGATGGGGAGTGTTTCACAATGTGAAATGCTGCACAGATCGAATATCATAGCTATTGTGGCTGGTGGATCCAGACCCAAATTCCCTGACAACACCCTAATGATATATGATGATTCTGCAAAGAAGTTTAAACTGGAGTTAACTTTTAGCTCATCAATCAGAGCTGTCCGATTGAGGAGAGACAAGTAATTATTTTTCTTTATGAAAATGATTTTATGGTTAATTATTTATTTTTATTTTAGATTAGTTGTAGTTTTAACGACTGAGATACACGTGTTTTCGTTTCCTTCACCCACACAACGTTTATTTTCACTAGAAACCAGAAATAATCCAAGGGGTTTCTGTGAAATGAGCCCACTGTTATCTGCTGAGAAGCAAATTCTAATCTTCCCTGGGCACAAAATGGGCAGTGTGCAAATTGTGGTAAATATTTTATATTTTTGTTTTTGAATCATTCATTTTTAAATACCGTATTATTTAGGACTTATTGAGCACTGAAATTGGCGTATCAAGCGCCCCCATTTGGATAGACGCGCACAGAAACGATTTAGGTTGCTTGGCAATAAACCAGCAAGGTACAAGGATTGCAACTGCATCAAGTAAAGGTACCTTGATCAGAGTTTGGGATTCGACCAGCAAGAAGCTTTTGGTAGAGCTTAGGAGAGGCACTGATCCTGCAACAATTTATTGGTAAAATAAATAAATTACTATTATAAATTTGATATTAATTTAAAGAAATTTATTTCAGCATGAACTTCAGCTGCGATTCGGATTTCTTGTGCTGTTCCAGTGATAAAGGAACTGTGCACATATTTGCCATTAAAGATACTAATCTGAATAAGAAAATGACGTGAGTTTTCATGAAAAAAAAAAACAGTTACAGTTTAATTTTAACTAAGAATTTTTTAGGTTTTCTAATTTTAAAATCTTGGGTAATTACGGAACCTCGCAGTGGGCATTGGCCAATTTTACTGTACCACCGGAGTGTGCTTGCGTTTGTGCCTTTGGTCCTAACCGCTCCGTTTATGGTATAACATACATACATTAATAGCAAATTGTTTGCTTTAATTGTTTTTTTTTTCTATGAATTACAGCGATATGTGTAGATGGAACGTTCCACAAATACGTGTTCAATCCGGATGGGAATTGCAACCGGGAAGCTTTCGATGTATTTCTTGACGTCTGTGATGATGATGATGATGATAATTTTCACTAATTGTGCAATTTATTATAATTTTATCATTTCTTGAATGTACATATGTTATTATGTAAGGGTAAAAAATGATGTACTGAATTTTTATACATTTTAATCTTTTTTATTCTATTTAACAAAAGGACTATATTTAAGTTAATAAAATCGTAATTATTAATATAACTCTTCAATTGCTTTTATTCCTGTCGAATGGATCTGACCATACTTTCATATCTGAAATACAAGAAAAGTGTTAACTTTTTATAAAATTTGTTGTTACCATTTCAGAATTACTTCCAGGCTGCACTTCTTCCTGCCTAATTCCCCTTCTTGTATGCTTTTGAAGTTCCTCTGCAAACATTTATAATTGAATCTTTCTCATGGTAAAAAGAAATATAGTAACTTACTGTAGTCCTCGATGTGGGTCATCGGGTATATAACAATTGGGTAAATCGTGATGCCGATTGCACTCACTATACCTCCAATTAAGGCCCCGTAACGCCAACCCGTCCAACGAGCCATCTCTCACCCTTCTCAACAATCGAAAAGGTAGGTTATGTTTAACGTCAGTGCGAAGGGTTAAATTTAAGGTTAACACGATCAGCTGTTTGTTCTCTTTTTCATTTATTGTTTACAATTACAAATTATATATAAAAAAATAAAAACTATCCTTTGTTCTCAATTAAATACTATAAGCATAGCTCAGCAGACTTGAACAGACTTATGGAGACGTCGATGATGACGAGTGGCAGCAGGATCCAAAACGGGATGAATACATGATAGATTTCCAGATTCAGGGCTCTGTATTCGAGCTTCAGACAGATCAGAATTTGCGTGGCGATCTTCAGCAGCACCACAATCAGAATGTAATTGTTCTTGTTCATCAGAACATTCTTCAGTACTTTATGCTTGCAGTGTATGACGATATTGACGAGCGCGTCCACGAACACGATCACGTCGAACACCCACATGGGGATGAAGATGAGGAACCAGTTCCAGTGGATGCGAGCCTCCAGTCTCACACAGAGGAACACAAAGAATATCAGCAGGAGGAACCATGTGAAGAGAGCCCGGTGCATCACCATCTTGAATGCTCACATTGTATGGTGCTCCTGCTGAAAAATATTTTTCACTCTGAAAGAAAATAGAAGAAACAGATATAATTAAGTTACTTAAAGTTTGTTTATTAATAAGAGCACTCACTAATTTTGAGGTTAACGGATAATCAACAAACCGCTGTCAATGTCAAAGTCATATTAAATTGTTTCCTTTCTCATTTAACCGTACAATACATTTAATTAGAATCGATTTAACAAACGTTACAATTGAATAATATATACATAAATTAATTTAAAATCATTTTTTTATTATATTTGTAGCTAATTTCAGAGAATGTCAGCTATTATCATCAACTGACAGTGACAGAATGGACAGAATCTGATCACTGTTGATCACTATATAACATATTGACAACATTATGATCTGTTAGTGCCTACTGTGATGTTAATTTTTAAATAAATTGTAACAAAATGATATGGACTTTCTCTTTACTTATATCATGCATAAAGCTACTACTTTTACCAGCCTAGTAAGTGTTATTATCTTCAATTAAATGTTTTATCTTTGTTAATACTTTTCTATTGCTTCAGTCGATCTACAGACTTTGAGGTGCACAGAAATTGGCTAGCAATAACACATAGCTTACCATTGAGCCAATGGTACTTTGAGGATACTTCAGAATGGACACTGGATTATCCCCCACTCTTTGCTTGGTTTGAATACATACTCTCACAAATTGCACAATTCTTTGATCATCGAATGCTCAACTTGGACAACTTCAATCATGCTTCTTTTGAGACTATCCTTTTCCAGAAACTCTCAGTCATTGTCACTGATTTCATCTACATTTATGGGACTTATGAGTAAGTATTGTTATAATAAATTTTCATACAAAGCGTTAAAACAGTTGTCTTATAATTGCAGATGTTCTAAAGCTTTACCAAAAGGGAAGAGATCAGAAATAATACTTCCTATTCTACTGATTGGAAATGTAGGTCTACTAATGGTAGATCATATACACTTTCAGTACAATGGATTTCTGTATGGGGTATTCCTCATATCCATTTCTCACATAATACAGGTAATTTATTATTATTGAAGTTTCTCTTCAATTTCACTTGTTGTCTTTCAGGGGAGAATTCTGCATGGTGCATTCTGGTTTTCAATTTTACTTAATTTGAAGCATATCTACTTATATGTGGCTCCTGCCTTTTTTATATATTTGCTGAGAATTTGCTTTGATACAAAGAGTATTAGAAACTTCCTTCGACTGGCTTTTATAGTGATCACAACGTTCATAGTTGCGTATTTACCGTTCATAGATCACATGGATCAGGTAATACAGTTGCTACAATTTAGATTAACTAGCTGAGAGAGTTTCGTTAACAATTGCAGATTTTACGTCGACTGTTTCCGTTCCAAAGAGGGCTGTGCCATGCCTACTGGGCCCCGAACTTTTGGGCCCTCTACACAGGCGTAGATAAGTTTGTGATAGTAATTGGTAAGTTTGTTTATTTTGCTTTGAAGAAGTATCTATTTTTTTTTTGGGGTAGCTGCGCGTTTGGGTATCAGGCATATCAGTACTGCAGCTACGATGACCGGAGGATTGGTGCAAGAGTCCGCACATGTAATCTTACCTAATATAACACCTAAGTTGACCTTTGCTCTCATCTTAATCACGATGATACCAGCATTGGTGAAGCTGTGGTCTTCGGGAGCCAAACCTAGTCAGTTTCTCAGATGTATAGTTCTATGCGCATTGACTTCGTTCATGTTCGGCTGGCACGTTCACGAGAAGGCTATCTTGATGGTCATCATTCCTTTGAGGTATGATAAATGTTGACTTGAAATTGAACTAAAACTGAAAGTATTATTTAGCATTCTAGCGGTAATGGAGCCGGCGGATGCCAATGTTTTCTTAATTCTCTCCACGGTGGGACACTACTCGTTATTCCCGCTGCTATTCCCTGACAATCTTATGCTGGTTAAGTTGTTGTTCTTGTTGATTTACTGCTGCTACGCCTTCTACAGCCTAAACAGTATATATCCGTTCCAATTCTGCAAGTTTTCCATTCCACTGCTCAGCAATTCAGAAAGCACCTACGTCCTCGGTCTCGCTCCTCTTTTCCTCTACACCGAAGTCCTCTTCAGGTTCACAGCTGTCAGTATAACTCTGCCTTTCCTCCCGCTTATGATGACATCCATATACTGCGCACTGGGTGTCTCCTATTGCTGGTTCAAGTACTACACGTACTTCATGCGATGCAAGACCTAATTCCAAAAACGCTAGTGTAATTTTTGTAATATTTATTATATACATTTACAATGAATAAATTTTATATCTCAAGGCTACAATATTATTAATTGCATATACTCAATTTGATATTTCAGCTATTGAACATAGGAAAGCTTCGCAGCGGTGCGTTTTCTTGTGTCGTCGACCTATTCTCGAATCCGTGTTTATTCTGTTCTGTTAAATTAAAGGTAGTTCGTGTATCGTTTGTTGGTGGGACAGTACTCGGCGTACTCCTCCCACGTGCAGCCTTTCCTGCTGCAGCATTCGGCGGTAATGGAACTTCCGCCGTTCCTGTTTGCTGCGCGTTTCGTCCTCACCATGAAGTGGGCCTCCTCGTCACTGATCCAAGGGAAACTCACTACAAAAAACAAAGAGAGATGTCAACGAGGTGATTTGTGTGCTCCTCGAAATTGCGATCGATCCACATACGTGACTCTAAATCTTCATTTGCCAGCTGCATCGGGTGCTCACTTCTTCGCGTGATCCTGTATATGTCCTTCTCACATGCCCAATACAAGTGTCTGATTAGGGTCTCCCTGCATCGAGTGTATCTTTCCTTATGCCAGGCCTCCTTCCATTCAGTATTCGACCTACACACATAATAACTTCATTACTGAAACCTATCAATTACAACAGGTGAGTTTTACTTACTAAGAAATCTACAAAGAACATACACTAAGTTATAAATCTAATTTCTATAATTTACCGAACAATAATTTATAATAAGAATTTGCTAACGGTTTTTAATTAAAAGTTATTACAGTTGCAAGCGCAACTATTAAATTAATTGAGTTATAGTATTAATGCGCTACAGATAACTTTATAATGTACAAAGTGATTGGATCAGCTTATTTGCTGATTAGAACTTGGTTTTCAGTGATATTAAGCTTCTGACCTACATGGTTTTAACGTCCTGACAGGATAAGGAACTTGCACCAAGTGGATTACGAGCACAAATCAAATCATTTTCTTCACGATTTCAACTAACTACATGGGACGTAACCGATTAATACTGACAATGGAACAAAAACTATTTATAAAATTTTAATTGAACATTAATTTAATTAATTTATTACGAGAAATTATAAATTAAAACTATTTCAAATTGATTTAAGATTAAATTTTGCAAAATATTTGTAACTTAATTTCTGGATTAGCTTTTAGATGACGCGAATAATTATACCTGTCTCTGAAAATGAGATCCATCTCTTTGTCCATGCCTCTCGCTTTGACACCATCGAAGAGGAGGCAAAGAGCTGCGACCGTCGACACCGGTAACCACATCACCCTCTTCTTCGACGAAGTTCTTTGTTAGTATATCCACGAATCTGATCTTCAGATAGGGACACACACACACACACTTAATTATGAGGAGTGCGGGATGTCTGGATGAGGAAGAGTTTGTACTCTTATAAGGAGATCGGATCCGGCGCGTCCACTCTTGGATGTCTTCAGGCGCAGACGCCCTCCACCCTCTTGACACTCACGCAACAGTCACACATCCCAATAAATTGAATTGTAAACACCGTACGATTAATACTATAAATTATGTGTGGCCAGAGCATTTACGACTTCTTCCGAGAACATCATCATCAATGAGGGCTTCATTAGAAACGCTGTTTTAACAAGATCGAGTTAAGAACCCGAAAAGCCCACACGCGCCTCCACCTCCTTTCATCCCATAATAATCTTGCAGTTTTATAGACCTGCCACAGATTTAAACGGGATTAATGATTGCTCAATACAGTTCCGCCCTTTCAATCGGAAGATTTATGTCGTGCAATAATACACTAGCCTCTCATAGAAAAATACAATTAACGCAAAAAAGACGGTGACTTCGATTTAAAGCACATCTATATTAATTTCAATTTTTAGAATGGGTTGTATTTGTCTGTTGCGTACAAAATGTCCAGAGCTTTTATGAAAGCCCTGTAATCAATTTCATCGCGGAGGCCTCTCTCGAAGCTGAAGCATTTGCAGATCATGTCGAATTCCGTCCTGGAAATCAGGTTGTACATTCCTCGCAGCGACAGCGCCTTTAAGAAGTGCTCTTGCGATATCGTTCCGCAATTAGTACGATCGTAATCCTAGGAAAATCGTAAAATTTAAGTAAAAAAAAAACATGTTGTGTGTGTGTATGTACGAGCATCCCAATTATGTCGAGGGCGCCGTAAAATCGCCGTTTTATATCATTTTTGTTTCACCCTCGACCGCCTCGTAACTTTTAATAAGGACGAGTCGAGAGCAACAAGTGATCGCATCCCACGTGTTACTGTAATTTTATACAATTTCGGGCGACGATTCACCTTAAATATGGACATCAGGTTCATCTGCAGGTCAGGCTTCTTCGAAAGCTTCTGGATGCCTATGGAGAAGGTGCGACGCTCGTCGAAGTTCAAGAAGTTCCTGGCGCAATCCTTCGTCGGCACGTGCTGTTTAGGCATCAGCAGAGGTGCCCTCTCCATGCAGGCCTGTGTGAAGGCCTCCTCCACCACCTCAGAGAATCTCTTGTAGTCTACACATCCAGGCCTCATTGGTGATGAAAATCTGTATAAAAAAATAACAATAATTTCAGCTTTCCATAATTTCCCCAAAAGAAACATTCATAATACAAAGTAGTAATAAAACTTATTGGATCGTTGAAAAACTAATTTGTCTTACACATTCATTAGAGTTTCTACTTCGGCTTCGGACAAATCGAAACGACAATTGGAAAGGCCTCTCTGGAAGTTCTCTCGACTGATAACTTGCTGATTGCAGAGATCGTAATCCTGCAGAAACTCGATGACCCGAATGCGTTCCCTGACCACCTTCCCCTTGATCTTAGCCAATATAAGGATGATATCCTTCTCGCTCCTGTCCACCGGTTTGCACGGTTTCTCCGCGTTTACCTTTTCCATTGCCTCGAGGAAGCCGGTGAACTAAGAATTGAACGAGAAATTAACATAAATTCATTCGACTAGAAGTAGAGGCATGCATACGAGAGCCTCCTCGTGCGGTTTCGGTTCGGCTTCTTTCAAGAACCAGAAGTAATTGAATCCCATGTCATCGTTGAAGCGCTCCTCCAAGGCGTAAAGCTCTTCGTCGGAGAGTAGAATGCCGTTGGATAATAAGGATTGACGCATCTGTGAGCGAGAGACGTGACCGTTGTTGTGCCTGGATATTTGTTCTTATTAGAAGAAATCATTTCTATTCTAAAGAGAAATTACTTGTCGTAATTCCTGAAGACTGGCTTCAGCAAGATGCGTCTTCTCATGATGCGATTCTTAACTTTTTCGACAGTTTCCTCGCAGAGATCCCGCATGCTTGGGTTCACGTTGTCCCATGATTTTGTGCCCCTCTTAGGCAACTCCTTTACCTCCCTCGGCGGACTCGCGACTTGCAGCATTGGCGCCCTTTCCAAATTCTAAAATTCAATTTGATATTAATCTACATTTCAATTTCATTCGCAAATTAATACTTTGACGGTGAAGACTTGATCTATGTCATCGGCGAAAGTTTTCCAGCAAACCCTCGTCGGATCTATAGGATCTTGGTACTGTATGGAAATGGTCTTGATTTCCGGTAGGGAGATGTAAAGTCGCTGAAGACCGCTTATACCGACGGCGTCCAAGCCGCGATGGAATTGTGATGCCGTTATTTTACCTGAACCCAGTGAATCGAACCCCTGCAAAACGCAACCACAGCGGAGGGACGAGAAAAGGGCGCGCCCTTTTCTCTTTTAGTTTCGAAAATGCCAACGGAATGCGAGAATTATCACTTCGAAAAAGTCGCTGATCCTGATGCGGTTCTCGAGAACGTGCCTCTGGATCCGTCTGATGATTTCCAATAGGCTTTGCCGCTGCGAGGGAGCGTTCAACGCCGGATGGAAAATGCTTTGTTTGCCGAAGACGCTGGCCGCCATTATTTTACCGATTTCGGGACGCGGCAGTTTTGGTAGCTCGGCATTTATGACCCTTCCAGGAAACTGGCTCATGATGTCCTAAAAATAACCATCAATTGTGGACCAAAGGCCCTGGAAGACAAAGGAAGAAAAAGGAGAAGAGATAAAAAAATTGACAATGCGCTTACGCCTCCCAGATCCAAGCAACCATGACGCTCCAAATAATCCACGGTCGCCTCAATGTCGGCAACAAAAGCCACATAGTTCAAAGTGTACGAGTCTTTCATGTACTTCTTCACCAACAAATTGAAATCGTCCGAAGATACTGTTATATCCAGATACGCCAACACTCTTGCAAAATGCGCTATTGTTACAGTCCCATTGTTTTTAGCCACCTAGAATACAAACATAGAATCAAACAAATTTCATTCAAAGAAAATGATCTGTTTAAGGCGATTTTCCCAAAGACTAATTAAATAATATTAATGTAAACAAATAATTGAATAATCAACAGAACAGGATGCGTATTCAGACAGGATGCAATCATCGATAAAGATAAGTAGCGAAAAATATACACAACGAATTCTAGTGAAAAGGCGGAAAAGCATTTTCTTCTTAAGTTACAGAAACTCATATTACCAATTCGTAATCTTGAAAGAATGGCCTCAGAACCAATTTCCTCAGGTTCACTTGAACAGAGATTTTCGTTATCAGAAGACTCAGCCTTCGCTCCTCGCTGGTGCTCAGACGGTTCACGTGGAGAGGATCCTCCCATTCCAGGCCAGTCACAAGATTTGCATTCTTCGAGAACTCAGGTACTTGAAGGGCAAGAAAATGGTTACAAAGAGAGAACAATAATCGAATTTTTCTGGTTGTTAATTTTACTGCTGTCGTGGATGACCTCGCAAAACTGCGTGTAAAAAATCCTTCCATCCTGTACACGGAAATAATCGGTCAGCTCTCCAATCTCGTAGTCCGAAAGGCCGATCGTCGAACGCAACGATCCAGAAAGAACCGAAACGAATGCAGATTCTACAAATCAAATCATACAACATATAAATACATTTAAAATCGTTTTAAATAAGCTGCAATCTCAGTTTACTTGTAAATCGATTAATTGAATTTTAAAAATAATGAACGTTCCTATTTTTTTTTATATACAAAACACGCAATTACATTTCTTTAGAAAAACATGCAAGTGATCGCTCCATAATTAAAACTTTTCGCTGCGCGATTCTTAAATAACTTATTTAATTGCTTTTCAGAATTTGCGTAATTAAAACTGCGAAGATTACGTTCTTTAGCAAAAAAAAATAATACGGAACGGATAAGACGCGAACATGTTTTGTAATGTTTTTGAAGTGCAGATAAGATATATTGACCTGAAATCAGACAATTTTTATGCGGGTCCAGCGGCAGATAGTAGTCCCACAAATTGAATCCCACACGGAAGATCGCGGACCGGATTTTGTTGCAAATCCGCCACACGTCCAACAGTTTCATTTGCTGTAATTAATAGAAAAATAATACTATTAGTTTTCATTAAATTTTAATTAACAATAATCTACCTTGCAATGCATTTTGAATGGTACAGAAATTTCCACCAATTCTCTCCTCAAAGTTTCCTTTCAATTTAATCCTACGTCAATTTGACAACAACATAACAATTGTCAGGAGATATCTTGGATACTATTTCTCCTCGAATTCCCAAGTTGATGTTGATGAAATTCACATTGTTTATAATCGGAGTAAATATTATTGAAACGCCAGTTAATAAAACGCAGTTTTTTTTTGATCATCTGCTGCACATAATACGTTAATAATTACAAGTTTCAACAAACGAGTTTAAAATCACCTTGTAATAAAAGGATAATCACCACAGTTGTCTTAAATGATTTGAAGGAAATTTGCAAATTGAAGAAAGAAGTGAATCGTTTAGATTTTCCAGTATGGAACAATTGAGATTTATATTGCAATGTGATTTGAGAGGAGACCTATTTATAGAGCACGTATTGATTTTAAGCTGCTGGGAATCAAGAGAACAGTCTCGTCAAAAAACAGATGAATTTGCTACATGCTTCTAACTTGAAACGCTTTATTTTAATAAAATAATGCATTTTTTCGTCCCCTCGTTTACTTACAAAAATTATTTTAAATAATTGTATTACTCAAAATTCATCAAAATACTTTAATTTTTTTTTAAACAAATAAATGAGAAATGCTAAAACAATTAATTATTAAATTAATTCACAAAAAATGCAAGTAAATATGGTTTTGAAGCTGTTTAAATGTTTTTAAATTATTGCGTGGAATAAAATGAAAAGTTTGATGTTGCATTATATCAAATATGGCTTCTAACGCTTTGCGCGCGAAGGGGGAGAAACTGTACACGTACTATTGATTTTCTAACCCCTCGTGGCAATGCCGAGAAAACCGCTTTAATCTACCCAACTGAAACCCCTTCATGAAACTTGCTTCTAAAAAAAATGCATCTCATCATTCTAATAATTATAAATTCACTGTTTTCAATTCTATGTTTCAGCATCTATTTTCATAGCTTTTAAAGCGTTTACATGAAGACTATTTTAATATAGTTCATTGAAGATACTTTTAAAAAGAACTTTACAAATTGTATATTTTTTAATTATTTAGAATTAATATACATTTAATTTATTAATATAATTCTAATTCAATTTAGAATACGATTTTGATAAAAAAAATGAATGAATTAATCATACAGATTTACTATTTTAACTATATTGAATAACAATTCAAAATGTAAGTTTTATAAGTAGGAATCGTATGTACTTAACATAAATTGAAGCTGAGAAATGATGATATATAGATTATGTTATGTTAACATGTATATTAATTATTAATATTTCTTTTTTAAAGATTGAAAATCATATTAAAATGTTTTGAAAGATGGAAATGCAAGTAATTTACTTATTAGAGAATGATTGTATTACGTAATTAATATTATAGCGATTGTATAACGTATTAGTTTTGAAGTGTTTTGATTGTGAGTATTTGAAAATTGATAAATATTCATAAAACTAACAAGGCAGGTCGTTGATCCGTGACCTTGAGGAAAATGTATAATGTTTAAATGGTACACGTCTTAAGAATATTATTATTATTATTTTATGTTAAAGTCTTGATTCGAAGAGGAATCATGTAGCTGGTAGAAATGTTATGTTTAGGGCCATCGACCGCGTCCTTTTCTTCTTTTTTTCCGGTCTTCAGGTTTCCCGCTGAGTATCGACAGCAAAGGGATTTCGGTTTAGGAAATAGCGGAGAAAATTCCATTGCACAGTGGAAAGTTTTCCCAATAATGGAGGGAAAATCGTTTACCTGAATTGGAAACAAAGCATTTATGGTATTTTAACGATTCGAAATTCCCTCCGTAAGTTCGAGTGGATGGACGCATGCGCGCCCACACCCACATCCGCCCGATGCTTAAATACGATTGGTCGAGCCAACAGACGCCATTCAACTCCCAGAAGTCAGTTCGAGTGTGTTCCGGGTGTCTCTTCGCTTTTCGCTACGGTCGAGAGTAGACGTGTATCAGCGTTTTTACTCTTTTGGTTAAAATTTGGTCGATTTTTGGTAGAGGAGGGAGTGTTGTAGAGAGCGAAAAGTTACAGATCGGACGTATTTTATCTAAGGAACAGTATAGTAGATATGGCTAACAATCAGGAAACCAAGATGGAAAACGGTGATGAGGACTTCTCACAGGACGTGAAGACTGATCAAAACTTTGCCCTAGACGAACAGATGAACGGACAACAACAAAACGGTGGAGGCGGTGGAGACGCACCTCCGGCTGACAGCGGCAGTGCCGACGCCCCAGGCCGCGACGACGACAGGTAAATCACTTTTTACAATTATTACATTTGTTTATATTTTGAGTTTTGTTCAACAAAACAAAGCGAAAGTAAGTTTTCATATATATATATATACACACACACAAGTGCATAGATAGATTGATCTGTCTGTCTCTGTGTTGTTTTGTTTGTCTATCTCTCTGAAACTAAAATGCCGGCCGCATTCTCGCTCTGAATCTGCTCGCATCACTGAAATAACGATGGAAATCAATCAGTAATTCAGATAGTTCAGCGCAAACGACTTCATTTGATTCGAGACCATTTCGATTTTTACCGTAAATTTGGGTTCGCTACGCCAAAATAATACATAGCTAAAGACCGACGCTATTTATGATGCTTCGGCTCTGAAGAAAATGGCGGCACCTCAAGCGGTTATTTTCGATCGCTGTAGCCGACTTTGTTTTTCTCTTTTTATATATACTTATTATTATTATTATTTGCCTCTCTGAATGTACATAATTTACTGGTTTTATAATTGTAATATCGATTAGTTTAATTATTAGTAGCTCTGTAATTATTTCCCTCCATTTTATTTTTTTTGATATCTCGATGCGTTCTCTCCCCCCAAGCACAAAACTGTTCAGTCATAGATAAGCCTGAAGAAAACACTCTCATTGATAAACAATCTAAACCAAAACAAATTGATATAAACATAACAATTATATTTATCAACAAATTCACAAAATCTTCCATATACAAGTTAAAAGCAATTTAAATCAAGCCCCGTTGTCTTCTATTTAATTTACCATTGTAATTGTTAGGTGTTTATATTATTGAAATTACTCTTGTAAACAGCTTCATTTAATCGAGATCGAGGAGTTTGCCCCCATGATAAAAGAAAAATCACAATTTCTCTCTAGGTTGTTATCCCTTATCAATCTTAATCACAAGCATTTCTTTTCAGCTTCGTTTTTGGTATTATTCTTTTCTCTCTGAACATTGTAAACTTGTAATCATAATGATAATCCGTACTATCATTGATTTAAATTGCTTTACTTACTGGTAACTGATACTTATACTCAAATCACATGAAGACAGTTTTGCGCCAAAGGGGGGCTAATTTTTAAGTAAATTTATTGTAAAATGATCTCTTGATTCATTGATGGTTAATTGTAAATAAAGTCGTAACGATTTATCTTTTTTTAGAACTTTTCAGCATTTTTTCAGTGATTTTTATATATATATTCAAAAAAACGTTTCTTATAATTATTGAAAATTTGTAAATGTAATTCTGTAACAATCTTTAAAAATCGGATCGTTCAATGGGCGGTGTAGGCTGGCAGGGTTAATTAGCGATGTCTATGAATTAACCAGGATTCCTTTCCGACAGGTGTATGCTGTTATCCTAGAAAGGAAGGACAGACGAGGGGGACGAGGACTTCTTGGGACCCATGGTATTTATCCTTGGGCACCTCCACTGCCAACCCTATCTAGTAACAACAATAGTTACATTAACATACAGAAATCTCAATAATTGGGCTCTCAAGCCAAGCATATATATATTTAAATATCACTTTTTATTTTATTTATAATTATTATTTTTCTAAAAGAGTTTTTGTCACTTTGGAATTATTACCTTTTTCTCTCTCTCTTGTAAAATTTTTGCAGATCACTTCTAAACTTACAGATTCACATTCAAAGATTGCAGATCCATTTGATTGAACTAGGATCAGTTCATTTTGCCGTTGCTAATATTTTTTTGTAATTTTGTATTTTTTTGAACTAGTTTAAAAATGTAATTTATTCTATTCAGAGCATTATTCTTATAAAATTATATTATATCCAAGTAATGCCTCCTAAAGATAAATACAACAACTTCTTTTAGTGGTTCTTCTTAACTTTGGTATTAATTTGTTGCATTTTTGTTCACAGGAAATTGTTTGTTGGAGGTTTGAGCTGGGAGACCACAGACAGTGAGTATTCATTTCCTCCATATAATCCAATTATCATCTCTACTGACTTTTTCATCATTGATTGAGTAAACATTATTTAAGAAATGTTTACCAAGTTTATTAAGAACCTGATGGAGATGTCAATTGAGTGAAGAGTTGTGATTTTGAAAAATTATATATATATTTTTTTACTAATGTTATTGAACTTTCGCAGAGGAACTTAGAGATCATTTTGGCACATACGGTGATATTGAAAGTATTAATGTGAAAACTGATCCTACGACAGGAAGGTCTCGTGGATTTGCCTTTATTGTTTTCAATAACGCAGAGGCCATTGACAAAGTTGTCGCAGCTGGTGATCACGTAATTAATGGCAAGAAAGTTGACCCAAAGAAAGCCAAAGCTAGACACGGTAAAATTTTTGTCGGAGGCTTGACGACGGAAATCAGCGACGATGATATCAAGAATTACTTCAACCAGTTTGGAACTGTAAGTGTTTGCTGCTGCTGTTAGATTGTCGAAACCGTTTGCTAATTGCAAATTCGTTTGTTTCCTGTTTGTGTTTAGATCATTGAAGTCGAGATGCCATTCGACAAGACTAAGAATCAACGCAAGGGATTCTGCTTCATTACCTTCGAATCTGAGCAAGTAGTCAACGAGCTGTTGAAGGCGCCCAAACAGACCATCAATGATAAAGAGGTAAATATTGCTGTGGTTTTCCCATTTACTTTGCAAGATGTCTTATGTGTGTATTTGCTTTTTGTTGTTGTAGGTCGATGTGAAAAAAGCTACACCAAAACCTGATGCCATGGGAAACATGCGCGGCGGTGGACGTATGGCCCGTGGAGGTGGTCGTGGCCGCGGAAGGGGTAACTACGGTGGCAACCAGAACTGGGGCAACCAAGGAGGATATGGTGCATACGGCGGTTATGGCCAGGGATATGGTAGTGGCTATGACGGCTACGGAGGAGGCTATGATTATTACGGAGGTGGATATGGTGGATACGGAGGCTACGACTACTCAAGCTATGGCAATTATGGTAAATACTCTAACAGGCATTAAGTTATATAAGTAGCGTTGGCGTTCAGTAGGACATTTGCGTGATACAACTTCTTGATATATATACAAAACATTTAAAAATAATAATGAAAATTTAAGAACAAAAGATATTTTTTCCACATATTTTTTTTTTCAAATAATATGAACATACACATAAATATAGTGAGTGCTGCCGTCATCTGCCGTTACTGCATGCCAACGTAGATTTTGTAATTAAGCCAACAGCAGAGTATTTGCACATACATATATACAATATTTAAAAAAAAAAAAACAAAACATGTTTTGTTCCTATATAATAACTATTATTTTTGCATGTTGACCTTTATATGGAAAGACATTGTGAAATATCTAAGCTTGAATAAAGCATTTGTTGAAACCAATTTCATAATGTGTTTTCCATTCATTTTTTTTTACCTAAAACAACCCTTCGGCATGGATTTAGTTTTTCACATATATATATATATCTATCTCATAATTATGATTTTCAATTTCAAGCTTCTCATATATATATATTTAATTTTTTTTCTTTTAATTTTCCATTATTTATTATTTCTTTTTTCGTTTACTTGAAAATCAACCTAATTAATTTTGTTGTGCGGATGCAGATTGTGGCTACGGTAACTATGATGGCGGCTACGGAGGTGGACGCAGTGGCAATCGCGTCAAAGGTATTGAAATCATTTAAAAATGTGCTCGTGATTTCTCCTTAGAATTATTATTTTTATTTACATTATTATTTTCTTTAACTTTTTATTTTGTTTCCACAAGACCAACCAACCTTACACACACACACACTACACACCAAAAAAAAATGAAACAAGTAGCTTCTAAAAAAGAAAAGAAAAGATGGAAACGATGAAACCAATTCTCTCTCTCATAATAATAATAACCTCCTCTGCCTTATTATAATATTAATAATAATATAATACTGTAAATATTTTTGTTTCTAGTTTACAAATATACATTTTCTATGTGCTTAACCCAATTGAATTCGTGCAGTGCATGGTAGTAACGTTTGTTCTTTTTTCTTTAATTTTTCAGGATCTGGGAACGGCGGTGGTAGCGGTTACACAGGCGGCAAGCAGAGGGGTGGCGGCGGCGGCGGTGGTGGTGGTGGCGGCGGTCGCAGACACCAGCCCTATTAATAAATTTGTGATCAGTACTTGGTAAGTTCGATATCATCGGATCAAACGCCAAAAAAGAAAAAAAAGAAATTTCGCTGACGTGTATTCCCTTTTCTCGATTTTTGCAGAATTCATCTCATCCTTCAAAATAAAATTCAATTCAATACGAAAATAGTTTAATTTAAGTCATTCCATTATAAAAAAAAAAAGAAAGAAAGAAATAAAACAAACAAAGAAAGAAAAATGCGAACGAGCGGCGCTGAGCTGCTACTACTGCTGCTATACACTTAGCAGGGAGGATCGACCGCCCACCCCCAGTCGCCGCTGCCTCCGTTTCTCGTTCTCTCTTAGTATATTTATATCTTTTCACTTTCGTTTTTGAAGATAAACCAACAACAACAAAACAACACTAAAGAGTAATAATAACAAAAGCAAACGGCTAAACGATGAAAAAGAATTGTCTTTTAGTTTAATTTTGATATTTATAATAGTTTTTTCGCATTATCATGATATCGGACATCTTCCTTAATATTATTAATTTTAGTTATTATCTTAATGACTAGTGTTTAAGTGATTATTTGTATTTTGTACAAGTGCTGAGAGATTTTTTGCACTTCTTCCGTGTTTAATTAAAAAAAAAAATATTTTGTATATATTACATCTATTATTGTGTGTTTATTTCTTTTAATTTATATAATTCTTTAATTTTGTATTCTTTACATATTTTTGTTTTTTTTTCTCTTCTTTTTTTTTCTCTCTCTTTCTCAAATTTCATTGAATAAATAAAGTATGCAAGTTATTGTAATGCCAATGTACAAAAAAATATGAAAGAAAAATAATAAAACTGATTTTTTCAATATAAATAAATGATATCTATCTGTATACGATGCACACATAATTTCTTTTTTGGGGTGTGGTGATGGGAAAATCCCCTTTTGCAAAATACAAATACCTCACGCATAATGAGAGGATTCATTCATTACTAATATGTTTCTTTTCTCAAAATTGTTTTCACATTTCAGGACTTCTTGAACTTATTTTTGTTCAGTGAAAACGAAATACGTTTTCATCTTTTCTACAAAATAAAAAGAGGTAATTAGAACCAATTTTTTTTTACTTCTATATAAATCCAGTTTTGATTCAGACTATCTTTTCTCTTCTAAATTTTGTCTGTATCAAAAGAAAATTAAACATCAGCTGGGACATTTATTATATATTGCAGGTGTTCATATAAATGAAAGCGAAATCAAACTTTTACTTAAAAAGGTAATTAATATATTGTACTTTTTAAGTTTATTTTCTTATTATATTTTTGTATTAAATGATGCTGTTCATCCAGTTCTGCTTCTGATTATCATTGAAGATGCTTTATACCATTTTTATCTGATTAAATGATTACATCAATTTAATATGATGAAGATGTTAATTTAAAAATATGTAATAAGTCTTTTCTATTGCAGATTTAGAAACTATCCATGTTTACAGAAGTGTGCAATCTTGTGTAGGTGGTGGAGTTGAATCTAATCAATAGTAGGTCTATACTTGTTAGAAAGGTAATTGTTTTTATTTATTGTAAATATTTATTTTTATTCATATTTTGTTAAATGATGTTGTTCATCCAGTTCTGCTTCTGATTATCATTGAAGATACTTTATACCAATTTTGTCTGATTTATATTCGACTCAATACTATTAAAAATATTAAGAATTCAGCAGTTTTGTTAACATAATTTTTATATTGCAGATTCTGAAATTTCATTTTCGAACTAGATTAGGACAAACATATCTAACTTGATATGATTCTTGATGAATATAGTTTTAAAAGGTAACTATAATATATTTTTCTAATTTAAGTAATTCAGATAAGATTTATACTAAAATGATGTTGTTCATCCAGTTCTGCTTCTGATTATCATTGAAGATGCTTTATACCAATTTTGTCTGATACAATTATTATTCAGTTTAAAGAAACGTTACGTATTTATCATATTATTAAAACAAGCTATGTCTTTCAGGTTCTTAAACTACCTTTTCTATCTTAAGATGTAAACTTGCTAAGGTAGCTCATTGTGTTTTGAAGAATGTAGTCCATACATCAAGTTTAGGTAATTATATTGAAAAATTGTATTAAATCTTAAGTTAATAATTCCAAATGATGTTGTTCATCCAGTTCTGCTTCTGATTATCATTGAAGATATTCTATACCAATTTTGTCTGATATAATAATTCATCAATTCAAAGAAACGTTATGTATTTATAATATTATTAAAAGAGAATTTGTATTTCAGATTCTTGAACTACCTTCTTCTAAGATGTATACTTACTATGATAGTTCATTGTGTTTCGAAGAATGTAGTCCATATAGCAACTAAAGGTAATTATGTTTTGCAAATTTATTAAAACTAAAATCAATAATTCTAAATGATGCTGTTCATCCAGTTCTGCTTCTGATTATCATTGAAGATGCTTTATACCAATTTTGTCTGATTCAATCAAATGCATCAATAAAATAAGAAATAAATTCAATTATTGTTATATTAAAAGATGTTTCTATTTCAGATTCAACAACTTTCTTAACCTTAAGACACACAAGCTAAGATAAATGATAAGAATAGGTAATTATACTTTTCTTTATATTCTCTTTGAACTAAACTAATTTTAAATGATGCTGTTCATCCAGTTCTGCTTCTGATTATCATTGAAGATATTCTATACCAAACTTTTCTGATACAATTGTTATTCAATTTAAAGAAAAGTTACGTATTTATCATATTATTAAAATAAGCTATGTCTTTCAGGTTCTTGAACTACCTTGTTTGTCCAAAGATGTAAACTTGCCAAGATAACTCATTGTAGTCCATATATCAAGTTTAGGTAATTATCTTTACAAATTGTATTAAATCTTAATTCAATAATTCTAAATGATGTTGTTCATCCAGTTCTGCTTCTGATTATCGTTGAAGATGCTTTATACCAATTTTGTCTGATTCAATCAAATGCATCAATAAAATAAGAAATAAATTGAATTATCATTTTATTAAAAGATGTTTCTTTTTCAGATTCAACAAGTTTCTTGATCTTAAGACACACAAACTAAGATAAATGATAAGAATAGGTAATTATACTTTTTCTTTATATTCTCTTTGAACTAAACCAATTTTAAATGATGCTGTTCATCCAGTTCTGCTTCTGATTATCATTGAAGATATTCTATACCAAACTTTTCTGATTAAATTCACTTGAAATCAATACGAATTTGCATACATGGAATATATTTCTAATCGATTATTTTTTTTTATATTTTTAGCCTGTCCACAAACTGAAACACTTCATATATGGGAAAAGAACTCATTGCAAAAACAGGAATTAGGTAATGATTATATGTTTATGTTTAACGTACTCAATATAATAACTTTTATTAAATGATGTTGTTCATCCAGTTCTGCTTCTGATTATCATTGAAGATATTCTATACCAATTTTGTCTGATTCAATTTGAACACAATTAAACGCACAGAAAATTGAACCAGAAGAGATTATTAATTTTTTTTCTTTTCTTTTTACAGATATACAACATCAAAAGATCGATGATTACGATTAATTTATTATAGAAAAAGGTAGACTTTATTTTATAATTATTACTGTTTAATCAAATCAAAATGATGTTGTTCATCCAGTTCTGCTTCTGATTATCATTGAAGATGCTTTATACCAATTTTGTCTGATACAATTGTTATTCAGTTTAAAGAAACTTTACGTATTTATCATTTTATTAAAGCAATATATGTCTTTCAGGTTCTTAAACTACCTTGTCTATCGTAAGATGTAAACTTGCTAAAGTAGCTCATTGTGTTTCGAAGGATGTAGTTCATACATCAAGTTTAGGTAATTATGTTTTACAAATTGTATTAGATCTTAATTTAATAATTCCAAATGATGTTGTTCATCCAGTTCTGCTTCTGATTATCATTGAAGATGCTTTATACCTATTTTGTCTGATACAATTATTATTCAGTTTAAAGAAACTTTACGTATTTATCATATTATTAAAGCAAAATGTGTCTTTCAGGTTCTTAAACTACCTTGTCTATCGTAAGATGTAAACTTGCTAAGTTACCTCATTGTGTTTCGAAGAATGTAATCCATACATTAAGTTTAGGTAATCATATTGAAAAATTGTATTAAATCTTAATTTAATAATTCCAAATGATGTTGTTCATCCAGTTCTGCTTCTGATTATCATTGAAGATACTTTATACCAATTTTGTCTGATATTTCTTTATACAAGACATACTTTCAATCAAATGTAAGAAGACAAATTAAACCGATTTTTTTCATTACAGAATTTCATTCGTTTTTATACATTCACAAGGATTGATCAATACCCTGAAGGTAATTATTATTATAAATTAGTTAACAACAACTTTGTTAAGAAACGCAAATGATGCTGTTCATCCAGTTCTGCTTCTGATTATCGTTGAAGATATTCTATACCAAATTTAACTGATGCATTTCATTAATGATTTCTTAACATATTGTTTAGTTGAAAATATTTTACTAATACGATGTTTTTTTTTTCTATTACAGAATTTATGGTCTTCAGGGAATCGTCAATGGATAAAGTATATACACAATAATATTGATATTATATTTACAGGAAGATTGAATAAAAATAAAATAAATTATTACATAATAATGATGTCTTAATGTCTATCTGTCGACACAGATGCGGTCGCCGCAATCTCGCATTTCCTAAAACCTTGATCCCCAACCCACGAACATGTTGAATAATTATTGGACCTAATTTGATTACTCGCTATTCATTGCATCAAAGAGCAATCAAGTGCAATTATTAATACTTTAAAAAATCACATCACAATGAATTCATTTGAATAAACTTAATCACAATTTCAATTTACTGTTTCGCAATTGATTTGCTCAATGCTCATTTCCATAAGATGAAAATACATATTTCATTCATATTCCAAATACAATCTGTTCCATTTCTATATTGACTATTGTACAATGAGACAATTTTCTTGTATATTTAGTATAATCTGTTGAAAGCTTAAATAATTGTATTGGAATGTGTTGACCTTTTCTTAGGTATTTTTAGAATCGATGAAATCAATTAGTTTTGGTCTTATTTCTTGGAAAAGGTTAAAGAATTTCCATCTTTGTAACATGGATTTTTTGTCTGGAAGAGGGTACTTGTTCATGAAATCAGCTTTACAGTAAAATCTATTCAACATAGTTGAAAATAACAATTCTCCTAACTTCCATTGTGAAATATTTTCCGTAATTTAGGTAGAAAACAGATGTTAAATTTCACTAGAACTTTATTGACTAAAGCTAAAAAGAAATGAGGATACCTTTCTTAGGTAGAAAGGTCGATAAACGCAAATCTTAAGTTTAAGAATAAAGACTTTTCTACCTAAGTCTTTATTCTAAGACTTAAGATTTCCCTTGTATTGTATTGATAATAAAAGTAAATGTCCATAACTTAGATAAAATATAATATTCTTAGAATCCTCATCAATTCTATTAATTTAATCAATATAATGAACGTTTTTCTTCAATTTTTAATTGCAATTGAAATTGAATTTTTCGTTAATTATTAACATTAATTAAAGTGTGACTTCAACCTAAGTCTTTATTCTTAGGCTTAAGATTTTCCTTGTTTTGTATTGATAATAAAAGGAAATGTCCTTAACTTAGATAAAATATAATATTCTTTGAATCCTCACCAATTCTATGAATTTAATCAATATATTGAACGTTTTTCTTCAATTTTTAATTACATTTGAAATTTAATTTTTCGTTAATTATTAACACTAATTAAAGTGTGACTTCTACCTAAATCTTTATTCTTAGGCTTAAGATTTCCCTTGTATTGTATTGATAATAAAAGTAAATATAATATTCTTTGAATCTTCACCAATCTATTAATTTAATCAATATAATGAACATTTTTCTTCAATTTTTAATTACAATTGAAATTGAATTTTTCGTTAATTATTAACACTAATTAAAATCAATATTAAAAGAAACAATACTGCGTTGCTATGATAAATGGAACAAAAACAAAAGCTTTCATTTATAGAAGAATGCAATTACTCTGCATTTTATTGAATTGATATGTTATACAATTCTCTCAATAGAAATAACGAAGGAATAAAATCACTCATAAAGTGGATTTAATTCAGTTGTAATTGTGTGTAGATAATACATTGACTTTTATATAGCGTTTGTTAATTGTTAACATATTAAAAATATTCTTGTCGAATATAATATCTATATTTAATGCAATTATTAAAGAAATAATAACTATTTATTTAATGTTAATTTCATTATTGCATCTCACCGATTTTAAATTATTCATGTATGGAACATTATTGATTTTTTTTTTTAAATAATATAATTGATGGTTATTTTTTAATATAAACATGTTTTCGAATGAAACTATTAAACGAAGATAATATTATTTTCTGTTGGTTATTAAGTCTACAATAGTTTTGTAAATAGTAGTTTTCGCGGGATTTCATTCAAACATCTGGCGGAAGCGGCGTCGTTGGCGCAAGCGTAGTGTTCGTTATTTAGCCTCGAGGGCGGAAGTTTGGGGGAGTGTCGAGGCTAACAAAATGGCAGTGGGGAGACTGTAGCGCTGCAGTGGCAGTGTATCACATCAGAAACGACAGAAAATATATGAAGTATACACCCTGTGCTGTTCACTTGCGGCGATTCCTGAATACCATTTTCTGTTCGACGTTTCAGTGCATTTCTTAGTGCCGGTGGAAGCAGTTGATGTTCTTCGATACCGTCCATTGATATAAGAGGTAAGTGCAATTCTCTATTCAAAAAACGGCAGCATTTTCCATCCGCAATGTTGGATGGATGTGTTGTGCCATGGGCATTCTCATGCTTGGGGTTTATCCAACCGCTGCAGAGGTGGCGGCGGCGGCGAAGAACAGGATGATGAAGGGGAAAAAGAAAAAAAGAGGATGAGGAAAGGAGCAAAGGCCTTTCGAAGGTCCCCTCATCGATTGGGTTCTCCTCAGAGCAGCGTTCGCGATTCTCCACACACAGATCCGCGCTTCCTCCATGTGCTGAGAGACCGCTATCAAGAGGTGTCTTAACCTTCCCCCCCATTGTTTGCAAATACTGCCGAAATGGTAGGACCGGTGATTTCCCCGGATCTCAAAACAGAAAATCATCGCTTGCAGATGTCTGGAGCTAAGAGATGCCAAATTAATCATCATTATAATCACCTTTGGTCTTCTTTTTGTTGAAGCTAGGCAAAAAATCACGTACATTTTGGATGCAAGCAAGCATACTGCCGTCTTCAATGCAGTATATCCTTTTGGGCCCACTCACAGAGAGAACAAAACAAAACTGTTGTTGTTATTGTTGTCTCCCTCATATGATGTTATTGCATTTGCATTGTGCAACAATGCCTCAATTGCAATTGCAAAACTTCATTTGAATCACAATGCATGCAATTGGCAAATGCACCTCCGGACAGGCATGACCATCTCCCCTTGGACAAGCACGCCCAGATTAAGAGAGAATAAGATCAGATGATTGTGGCGTATAAAAATTCACCACTGTAATTCACACAAGATGGTGGTGCAAATTTTAGCCGCATCCGCCATTTTGATTTTTATTTTTTCACTTCAAGGGGTTACCTGATCTTATTTACTTCCGGACCACCCCCCCCCCTCAACCGACACCCTCATAGTTTCTTCTGTTCAACTCTGTTTTGCCTTTATATTAAAAAAAAACAACAAATTTTCACCTTTATCAGCTGCAATCTTAATCGGTTTATTTCGAGACGCAAACAAAAACAATGTTAACAATGCAATTCGGTGCAGCTGGGCGGGGTTTGGAGAGGCGTTTTGTTTACGCCTCTGGTGCGTTGACTTTGCCTTGTGAAGCGTAGGTGGAGGTGGTGGATGCACAATTAACGATTTTAATATTGAGCAATTCGTGCTCTTTGTTGTTGTTGTTGTTGAATAGCAGCCAAAATAATGGATTGTGTCAGATCGGCTTTTTTAGGCCGGCGAGAGAGTCTGGTGACAAATGGTATGACATCATCTCGATAAACAGGTAGTTTCTGCAATCGTAAACATGCCGCATGAATGGCCTCTCTTCTTGCTGATTAATCAGTACTGTTATCAATTTAGACGCTGTAAAAATCAGCAGTTTCAAAATATTTCAGAAAGTTATTGCAGACTGATTTCGTTGATCTTGAACGACGCACGATCGCGTCTACTGACCTTGGCGTGGGTTCCTTAAAAAAAAATGTTTAACAAACGGAGCTACCTGATGGTAACCGATTTCTTTAATTACACTTTGCGAAGTATTTTACGATGCTTTTCTATTTTTGTATAACAATTTCCCAAGGCGAAACGTTTTCATCTTCAGACTAACATTTATTTAGTTTATATGTTAAACCAACTTTTTAAATACTAACTGTTTAAGAAAATACTATTTTTTTTTCTGTTTATGTTTGCTTTTGAAGAGAACCTTGATCTTGGAAAACATCGTTCGTTTCGATTTTTGCGAGACAATGAAATGGCACGCTAGATCTATTGATAAGAATTACATCATTTGATAAGCGTTTTAAGTTCAGGCTAGTCATTTCAAATCAATTTAGTTAATATTTGCTTCTATAACTAAAGTTCATAAGTTTTTCTTGGAAATGCTATGAAAGGATTTTGTAACATCGATCTTCTCTGTTTTGGAAATCCAAAATTTATTTTATAGCTGAATTTAACTCTGATTATTTGTGTACTCAATTAAAACAGATTTAAATTGAATTGAAAATTACATTGTTTAAGCAACGTTACATTTCTAATTGATCTTGATAGTATAAAATATTGCGTAATGCTATTGCTATATACATCTATTTTTAGGAGTCTGCCAAAATTGATTTTGATGTATGGTTGTAATTGATTTGTTGCAGGTATCAAAGTGCACCGAATAAAACTTTTGCGAGTATTTGAATTTGATACATAATCATTTCGCAATCAGGAATGGTAATGGAGGCCCCCCCATCTCCCGATAGCGTTGGACGGGAGTTTGTCCGACAGTACTATACCCTGTTGAACAGGGCACCAGAGCATCTGCACCGTTTTTACAACAACCAATCCTCTTTTGTCCATGGAGGTTTGGACCCGCCCAACCGCGAGACCAGTCCCATGATTGGGCAGAAGCAGATCCATCATAAGATCCAACAGTTGAACTTCCAAGACTGTCACGCTAAAATCGCGCAGGTGGACTCGCAATCCACTCTTGGAAACGGCGTCGTCGTACAGGTGACCGGGGAGCTGTCCAACGCTGGGCAACCCATGAGAAGGTTTACCCAGACCTTCGTCTTGGCCGCACAGAGCCCCAAGAAGTACTATGTACACAATGATATCTTCCGCTATCAGGACGAGATCATCTCCGACGAGGAGTGCGAGAACGAGAACCGTTCGGACACGGAGGAAGAGCTGAGTCAGGAGAGACCCGCTCAATCAATTGAGATGACTCAAATCAATCAGCAACCTATTCCGTACCCCTACAGCCCGAACAACGCTCCATTGCCTGGTAACATCGCTCCAGTTCCACAGCATCACCATGCCCAACCTGCTCCGCACGTTATGCAGCCACCACAGCCGATGCCAACGGTCAACGGAGTTGTTCATCCTGATGAGATGACCGTTATGGCTCCAAACATGCCGCCGCAGCACGTCCCCGCCGGTCAATCACCACCCATGAACGCCGCTCCGATGTCTGTTATGCAACCTGCGCCCATGATCCCTGGACAAGTGCCCGCTCCTGTACCTGCCGCTCCCATCGAAGAAATCCCTCAACCCATCGAGGAGGGTGCTGGTGACAACGCCGACAACTACGTCGAGAGTCAGGCTGTGGAAATGGAACAGGTGGATATCATCACCGAACCCACTTCAAATGAACCAAAAACCTATGCTAATTTGCTGAAGACCGGAAGCAGCGTGGGTTACGCCGCAGCTACTCAGATCAACGTGACCCCGACGACCCAACCACCGAAATCCATATCGCCGGTAAATACAAATAATTCCACTAAATTCATGTCATCAAATCTAATTATTCTCATTCACAGCCCTCAGTTAACCGTTTCGAAAATCGTGAGATGCAACAGGGAGTCGTCAATAATATGAACCAGCCTAGGAACAACAGGGGCGACAACAATCGCAACCCACGCCCGGGACAACCTCAACAGCGTGTGCCACGCCCTGATGCTCGCGGTCCACCAATCAGGAACAACATGAATGAAGACGGCAACAACTTTGGTATGTTCCAATTCATTTTAAATTTATTTTTGCACCGCGTTCAGTCGTCACAATACATAATACATTACTAATATTTGTGCATATAATAATGTAATATTTTTTAATTGCAGAGGAACGCAGGCGTTCGCAAGGCAACTTTTCTGATAGCAACCAACTGTTCTTGGGAAATTTGCCGCACAACGCCACCGAGGATGATTTAAGAGAAATTTTCTCGAACTTTGGAAACATCCTCGACTTGCGCATCCACAGCAAACCAAACTCCAAGGCTGGACCTCCCGGATCCCGTGCTCCACCAAACTACGGCTTTATCACATATGAAACTCAAAACAACGTTCAAAATTGTTTGGCGGCTAAGGTATACAATACTTCCATTCGCAATTGAAATGAATATTTGTTGTACAATTCTAATTCTTTGTTGCTATATATTTTAGCCCATTTACTTCTCGACGAGCGACAAGAACAGCGTTATCCTGAACGTTGAAGAGAAGAAGGTCAAGGATCGCACACCTTACGGTGGCGGTCGCGTCGGAGGTGGCATGGATAACAACATGGGACCTCGGCCCAGGGACAATAACGGACCAAGGCCAAGGGTGGGCGGTATGCCCGGCGGACCACCGAGGGGAGGTGGCGCCGCTGGCGGTGGACCGATGGGTGGCGGTGGCGGCGGAGCCTCCACCGGAGGCGGCAACAGACCAAACAACCGGGGGGCACCGAACCGTGGCCCAAACAACACATACACCACCCGTCGCTAGCCCATCAAATTCTTCAGCTGCCTCTGGTGGACACAAACACTTATCATTCTAGTTCGTGTGGACGGATAGTGTGTGGGATGTGTACAGTGTTCTCTTAAGTCGGTTGGAATATAGAGCTGTTTAATGGATACATTGGTGCCAATAGTGACTTGCGAAACAAAACATAAAACAAAACAAAACAAACAAACAAACAACAACAAACAAAAAAAGAAGTAATAATAATAAAAATGAGAATATTTACGTTTTTAAGGGGGGATGATGAGATTGATTAATTCAGTTACAGAAAATGTAGATTTCAGGGATTCTATTTATTTTTTTCTCTCTTCTCCGTATATTTTTTTTAATTAATCAAGTATTTTCTTTGTTTTTTTTTTAATTTAGAGAAAAAGAAAGAATACACATACACAAACACACGTAAACGGATTCTCTCCGTTTAATTAGATAAGTCTACTCTACATATTATACAAAGTTTTGTATTCAAACCATAGATGGTTCTTATGGGATAACTTTATTTTTGTTTTTTTTTATATACATACATATTTATAGAGCACGCACGGCAATTCGACTTTCTTTCCTCTCTCGGCTGTGCTCGATTATAATTTTTTTTTTCTGGAAATTTTCACGAATTGAAATTTGTATTCTCTTAAATAAGATGGTACATTGATTTTCCTGTGTGTGCATTTATGTAAATTTGGATAATTATGATTTTCTTTTAATATTTGAAAAAAAAAAAGATGAAGAATGTAACGAACGGAATACATTTTGTTTCTCTGGATATTTGTATAGTTGAAAGCGAAAGTGTGTATGAATACGTGGCGAGAAATATAAATGTTTTCCATGACTAGACAGGCAAATGAGAAAATCAAGAAAGGAGAGAGAAAAACAAACAAAAACAAAACAAAAAGGAGAAAATCTATAAGGAGTAATGAAAAAATAATGATAATATACGGAAAACGAAAAAATGGTTTGTGTGTACGAAGTGATTTGATGCTGGTCATATTTTACATTACCTGTGCAACAAAAAAAAATCAATTTTTATTCTTTGAAATATTTTGTTTATTATTATTGTCCACCCTTCTTTTTCTTTATTAATTATTATTATTTTTTGTATCGGAAACGGGGGGGAAACAGCAACGAGGAACAAATATATATCGAGAGAAAAAAGAATCGCAACAATTTTTCTTTTCTCAGCTATCTTCTTAACTTTTTAAATTTAATTACACAACATCTTCTGTTTTATGTGGCTTAAAGTTTTCCCTAACCACTGCGCTTATTGTATTATTTATATTATTATTATTTTTTGTAATATACATGTTTTATATGAATATTTAATTATTATGTTCTTTTTTTTTAATTATTATTTTCGATGGCAGTGGTTAAGTTTTACTTTTTACACGCAACTGTTGAATTTATCGATTGAAACGATTCGTCGTCCCCTCAATATGTTCGTAACTATTTTCCACTACTATTATTATTATTATATAATAAAACAAAAAACAAACAAGATTTACAAAAAAAAAACAAATACGAATGGAAAACTACTAATGGCCAATCCAGTGACTTAAGCTACATTTTTTTTTGCTTATACATTAAAAACAAAATAAATATTTATAATATTTTTCCCCCACTCAAACAAACCGAGATATGTCGAGAGTTGAGAAAGTTTACTTTACCTTCCCCCCTTTCTGGAAATGATTTTGTTCCACTGTACGGTTTACTACACTATTTAAATAACTAACTCGTTATTATTTGTTTTTTTTTTTAAATAATTTTCTGTCGTATATTTTTCCCCTCGAAAAGAAAAATGTAAACTTAGCTTGTACTGAGACTTTGTAGCATTATAGTATTGTCCTCACCACCGAAGTACGAACTCGTAATGCGCCGAAATTTAGTTCAAGTTAAAGTGAACAACGGACAGACACCAAACTACTACAATAACAACAACATCGGATCAAGAAGAAGGAAACAAACTTGTTGCAAAAATGAAACACAGAAAAGAAAATATGAGCATGATGAAGATGAAGAAAAAAAACTATTTCCATTAAGGCTGAAACTAATTCGTTTCTTTGATAATAAATGATAGAAATTTGCAATTCTTATTGTCTTCGAGTTTCTTTTTATTTCTATCGCTCAAACATCATTACACCTTGTGCAATTCTTTTTTTCTTTGTATTTGCATTATCCCCAGTAGTGTTTATTTCAATTGTTTTTACTAAATTCCAAACATTTCATAAATTAATTGAGAACATTTGCGAATTTCAAACTTTCATTAATATTTTGATCTTAAGTAAGTTTGTAGGTCGTGAGATGTTCGCTCTATAATCACGAATTGAGGTAAGTTTGCGATCTCAATTGAAGTGCATGGTAAATGGGGCACGCGAAGAGATTTATCGCGCTTGAATTGGACATGTGTAAAGTCCATTTGTAAAGTCGTTCATTGCATTATCCATTAAAAATTGGGACGCGCTGGAGGCGGAAAAAAAAGGAGTTGAATCTGAACTTGTGCATTCATAAATTGATAGGGAAAAAACGACGAGAGTAGGAATAATACTTTATGATCACGTCTTTTCAACATCTACCATTGGCGTAACTTTCATTATTTTTCATAATAGTACAATTAAAAGTTTTTCAACTTACCATTGATTTCAATTTATGTTAATGCAAACTTATATAAAATAACTTTTGATTAATTACTTAATTTTTAATACAAATTTTATCGTTTATTCACTTAATTATTATTGAAATAAGATTCAAACAATTAAGTTTAATACATATTGTTTGAATGTAACCTTGTTTAACGAGAACTTCTAGAAGTATTCGAGACTGAGTGTTTTATCAATTTCCTTTACAGAGACTTACGTAATCGCACGCCACTGAAAAGGATAGAGTTGTGCAGGATGATGAAGAGGCGGCGGTGGAGGAAGGAGAGGAGAGTAATGTATGTTGCGTATGCATCTGGTTTCTGTATGTATGACCTGAGCTCGCATCCAGAAGTAATCAGTTTTCTGTGAGCTGGTGAAGAGAGCAAAGCAGAGCAGCAGAAGTCGGCGCAGAGTTGTAGAGAAGGAAGCAGCAGGGAACTTGCTTGACTGGTAAGTCATTGCAGACTTAATTACAGAGGGTTTTCTTTTAAGTATTTCACATTCCAAAACCAAAGAAGAATTAATCACAGAATGTGATCACATGAAATAATTTTAAGGAATTCTCTTCAACAAATTCTATAATAAATAATTAAAGTATATTGTTTCATTAATTAAAACATTTATTGAAATAATTACTGAAAATAAAAATATCAACATTTTTATAACTAAAATTAACAAATAATGAAAAATATTTTTTAAAAAAGTCTATTTTTATTGAGTTATTTCTTATGAAAAATAAAACATTTCAATATTTAACAATCAAAGTGTTTTATTAACGAAATTAAATTAAAATATTTGATGTATTTAAATAATTCAAAAAATTAATTTTGTAAGGAGAAATATCAAGAAATAAACACAAAATTTCTTTAATTTATATTAATTGTAAATTAAATCTTTGAAAAAAAAAATTTTTCTTTGTAAAAATTACTTAAGGAAATTAATGCTTTCGCATTTGAAATGATACTGTTCGAATTTCGCTGATGAAGTATAACGTTTTAGTCTCATATACGTATTTTCAATCCTGAATGTTAGTTTAACTCTTAGTTAAATTAACGAACCAGCAAATGTATATTTACTTAATTATGTATGTTTTATTAACGTTGTTAAGTAACAATCTGTTTGAAAAATGAACGTTTGTTTTTGCTCTTACTTTTTATTGAAACGTGGGCCGCACTCACGCAGTTTACTTCTATTTTAATGCAATTGTTTCATAGCTTACTTTGCAATTCAATTGACATTCATTTGTTAGTCACTGTTTTTAACAATTTTATTTTTGAAATTTTAATCTACTAAAACAGTCTATAAAAAAGAAAGATGCGTATTGGTTTTGAGTTAAGTAAAGTAAAGAAATCTTTAAATTGAAGATATTGTGTAAATAATTACGTAAACCGTCTGGAATAGATGTTTATTGATAAACAAACGACTATTTGGGTACACTTGGGTGCCGTTCCAGAAACGCGCGGTTACGTAACCCTTGTTTTTGTTGTTATTGAATTCGATGGATTTAACAGTGAACAAATTAAGACTTGAGCGCGTATTTTTAGATTGGTTTTGATGTTGAGAGTCCCTGAACGGTCGTTACTGCAGATGCAATAATAACAATTACCGAGGCGAGAGAAGCAGTAAAACAGCCGCAAATAGAAATTCGCAAGAGCCTGCTGTTGCAGCAAATGCCTTTTATCGAAGTGTACAAATGCACATAAAGGAAAGGATTGTTGCATGGTGTGGGCGACGAATGTGTTTGCTATTACCATCCGTTCCTTCTATCGGATCTGGCAGGAAACCTGCAACGATAATCATCCGATGACACCATTCTTTATTTCATCTATTATTATGATTATGATTGAGAGCTATAGCGATTGGATCTTTCTGGATTTCGCCTCTGCACGATAACCCCTTTTTCGTGATTACAAAATCAGATCTTGCCTCAATGCCACACATGCGGTCGTCGTTTTATGTCGCTCCATTTTGCTTCATCGTCAAACGCGATTGTTTTCGTTTCATTTATTTATTTATTTTTTTTACCCATTGCGACCTATCGGATGGCAATAATTGCAGCCAATTGAACCATCTGCGCCTCGACCATAGGAATGATGTCACGTCCCATATTTCAGAGCGAAAAAAAAACCTGTTTCGAAAGCCCCGACGATTTAATTCCGAATCTCCCTGCAAGCGATTTATAAACTCTCTTTGTAATAATTCTTACCATACGCAACTTCTTAAAATATACATATATAAAGAAACGCATGTACATATAAAGAAACGCATGTACATATAAAGAAACGCAAAAGGCTTATCTGCTTATTAATGAAGTTGTTTTTGGTTACCATGTAACCAGTTCCAATGATAACGAGGCAAAATCCGGAACGGATTGCACAAAAAAAATTAATAACATTGCCATTAAGAATATATAAAACAAAAAGATTAAGTAATTATGCTTTCAACTAATCACTTATCACAAGTGTTGTTGTCATCGTCGACAGCCTTCTTGGATACAAACAAATATGTTTTGTAATCTAAAAACATGCTTGTCGGTATCCTAGTTACCAAAAGGATATTGGTAACTAATGTAATCTTAATATTAATGAAATTGGAAAGAATCTAGAGTGTAATATCAACAACTAAAACAAAAGAGGACTTATCGCTTGGTGCACTTGGTTATTATTTTTTTTACAGGAAATTGCACAATATGTATCTGGAATAACTCTAAAATAAACAATGATATAACAACAACTTTCATGGAATCTCTATCACGTAATGAGATAAGCACGAAATTTGTGTACTAAATATTTATTTAAATCGAAATCTTAAATGCATGCAGTAATAAATAATAGTTAAAGCATAAATTCGAGAGACCTGAAAAAATCTATTTTTTGAAATTCATTTTCAGACACATGGCTCACACATGTTTCGAATTTGAGGCTACCGCTTGTAGCTTTAAGAAGAGACCAGTTTAACAGCTCGTTTTCTTTATAGTAAATGTAAATTATTAATTGATTTTTTTCTTGTGCAGCAACAAAACAAAAATGAAGTACCGCACTTTGGTCCTGGTGCTCGTTTTGGCCGCCATCATTTGCGATGCGCAGGCATCAAAACCGGTAAGTTGTCTTTTAACGTAATAGTTTGATTGAATTTTGTGTTTTTATACAATTTATTTCTTTTCAGGAGAAGAGGAAACACAAGAAGATTCGTCGCATGCCCGGCACCAAGATCGAATCTTTGCCTGTAGACTTGACCCACGCTGACGGTGATGACCTCTTCAAGATGATGGAGGCCGATGACGAGTTCGACAATCTGAAGAAGTCCGATGAATTCGCCGAGGAAATACCGCCAGAGGATGACCTCGTCCCAAAGATATTGAGTATGTATAATTACAATTGTTTCTTTGAAATAACTGTATCATTAATTGTTTGAATTTTGTAGATCCTTGCGGTAATGTCCATTGCAGCGCCGGAAGAGTCTGCGAAGTAGATGATTTAGGAGAGGCTGAATGCGTTTGCATCAAGAGTTGTCCGGTGGAGACGGAATCCCGCAGGAAGGTGTGCACGAACCACAACGAAACCTGGACCTCCGATTGCTCCGTTTACCAGCAGAGGTGTTGGTGCGATAGGGCCGATGAGAGATGTAAGGGAGACGAGTACAAGCACATCCACATCGAGTACTACGGAGAATGCAAGGATATGCCGGTAATAAACAATTCGATGATTGAAAACACAACGGTGAAAACTATATGATGTGTTCGGTTTTCAGAGCTGCCGCAAAGAGGAGATGGCCGATTTCCCACGCAGAATGAGGGATTGGCTTTTCAACATCATGAGGGATTTGGCCGACAGGAAGGAACTGCCAGAACATTACCTGCAGATGGAAAGGGAAGCCGAGACGAACATGACCAGAAGGTGGACCAACGCTGCGATCTGGAAGTGGTGCGATTTGGACGGACATCCTCATGATAGGTCTGTTTAAGCCTAAAATTATGTTGCTTCAATACTATCATAACTATATTAATTGCATATTTTGCAGATCCGTTTCTCGTCACGAACTGTTCCCAATCAAAGCTCCATTGATGGCTTTGGAACACTGCATCGCTCCGTTCTTCGATCAATGCGATACTGATAACAACCATCGTATCACTCTGACCGAATGGGCTACATGCTTGGAACTCGACGAGGTTTGATCTACTATAATTTGCTAAAGACATCAATTAACATTTCTTTTTGCAGACCGACATCGAAGAGAGATGCGACAGACTCGAGGACAACATGAACGAGATCGATGCCGTTTAGATTCGATCGCGATTCCAAAGCATTTTATTTTATATATATATACATTTTTCCTACTATTTCTAACGAAATCCTTAGTTTAATACGAAACACGTGGAGCCGAATGCGATGGTGCTAAATGAAACTTAACAATAATGGATCCAATTTGCGGATCTTGAACAAATCTACTGCCTTATTTTTCTATTTCCATAATTATTGTTTCCTTTCAAAACTTAAACAAATAACAAATTTGTAAATAATATATAAATATACATAATTAAAAGATATACTTGTACGTTTTTACTGTAAAGATAAACATTAAATATTACTTTACCATACGTCTTCATAAAACAGTAATTACTATTTAATTGTCAAGTAACTTGTACAAGTACTTAGGAGAACGTAATTGTTAAACAAAGAAAGTATATTATTCATAAAAAAACAATTGACCAACAAATGAGCTAAGAACTTGACAATTTACTTGTATTTTATTCTGAAGAAAACAACACATTATGAACAGAAAGTTATTATTGATGACAATTTGTATCGAACTTTAAATAAATAGAGAACAGAAGCTGCTGTGTAAATCAAAGATAAGTGCATATTAAATGTAACATTTCACATTTAGTTTTACTATCTGCAGCATTGAACGACAACGTTTTTCCTCTGCAATACCGATAAACGATTGCGGAGCGCTCGTAAAAGCACCCATAGAAATTGCTGCAAGTAACGAGAGATTCGTTCGGGAAAATCATAACTAAAAATAGAGCAACATACTTAACAGCTCATACCGTCGGCAATTTCTATGGCAGTTTATTAAAATCTTTCTTTCTCTCTCTCCCTTTCTCTCTATAAATATAAGTTGAAATTAAACAAACCAAGCATTAACGAATTGCATGTGCACGAACGTGTAGAGACATGAACTCGTAATATTTGTTGCGTAATGAATGTTGCGATCAATCATCATCAAATGGACGAGAAACATTTTGCGATCATCGTTTTTATTATTATTATTATTATTTCGGACACACAAACTCGTTTCGTGCGTCTTTGTATGAGCGTATTGATTTTATACCAGATTTGGCCGCAGTGCATAATTCAACGTTTGCGAGAGGAAAAGTTGCATAAAAATAAACAATGTTAACTTGTAAAATTGTTAACAACTTATTGATTTCAATATGCAACGACTTTTCAGTATAAAACTCATGAAATTACAATTCATTTGCAGATGGTACAGCTAATATAGTTTTAAATTTCAATTAATCAACATTTCTAAACAATTCAAATATTATTCATATTTTTTTTTATATTATTTAACAAAACAATTAAACATTTGAAACGCAAAATGTACATTTAACAAATTGAGCGTTTTTAAATAAATTGGTTTCTATAATTAGAAGGAAATGCCAATTATTTATATCACCGTGTATTTATTCCGCAATTTCAAGTTTAGTAAATTAAAATGCGTTATTGCTAATGCTTCATTGCACGTAACGGTTTCTGCTTGTTTTGAAATAATTATAATTATGTTTGTTTATCCCATTAATTCTAGCTTTGAATTAATACGTAGACTTTTGTATTTAAATTTGTATTTAATACCAATTATTGAATACTTATTGATAATTTAATTGTAATTTAAGAATTGTTAAGATTATTAAATTGTGTTTGTAACATAAATAATGTAAAGAAGACATTAAATGCATATGTAAGTTTTAAATTTAAAGTTTACAGTAATTAAAAGGAAGTGATTTATGTTTAAATATTATAAAAATCATGTAAATATAATTAACAAATTATGTGCAAATTATTAATAAATAATGAAAGAATGGAACAATATTTTCTCTTCGTTTCAGAAATAATTATAATTATGTTAGTTTATCCTAACAATTCTAGTTTTAAATTGGTAATTAGACTCGTATTTAGAATTATTTTTAAACTGTATTATTTTCAGTAATGAGTAAATGCTATTGTAATTTACGGATTCATAAATTATGATACTTTATTTATAAATTCAAATGTGAGGAGTTGTAATTTGAAAATTTGCAGTAATTAGAAGGAAGTGATTTATTTATTATAAACATCCTGTAATTATAATTAAACCAATGATACAATAACGATGTATGTAGTAATAGTAACAGTGCTTTATTAATAATGAAAATATGGAACAGAATTTGCTCTTCATTGTAGGTAACGGTTTTCGTTTGTTTTCAAATCGTAATCGTTGTAGGCTTTGTTTGGAAACATAATGCGAGTTATCCCAGAGCAATTATTAGTTTATTTTTCCCCATACAATTACAGCTTTTGAAACGTAATCAGTTTGAAATTGTTCATATATATATAATTTTTTTTTTATTATTTTCGCAAAACTGATAAAGGTGATAATTAAAATTGGATCTGTTACGTGTGGAGACTCGAACCGGGCAATTTATTCGGAATGTAACCTAAATATCAAATGGCTCGTGCATTGTTGTTTGAATTCATTTTTTTTTCTCTTCTCCATAGCTCTGCTCAGCTCTCTAGCATTTTGAAAACCCGACATTGTTGTTTAATTAATCATCGCGTTGATGGGCATTCCTCGAGGATGCGCGGGGAGCGGGAGGCAGTCGGAGGACGGGACTTTAGTCCTTCGTCCTCCTCCCATCCTTGGCTGGCGTTTTTCGGGCGCGTTTCCGCCGTTGCCGTTCGTCGTTTTCCCTCCAATTTTTGTCAGCGTAGAAAACGAAAACAGTTACATATGGAACAATCGATAACGGCCATATTAGCGTCTGTCGAAATCGCCGCGTGTCATTGGATCGAAGAGGTCACGTGACGACAGTGCGCAGACGCGATAGATGCCAACGGCAGTTTGGCGCGCGTAGCGTACTTTGTTGAAGCTGTTTGTGAGTGTAGCATCACGTAGTAAACAACGCGAATAAAATGGTAAGTTTTGAGGCGGACGGAACGCTCGGATCCCGCTGAAAGTGACGTCGATCGAAGCAGAACACTTCGATCCGTGCTCGGACGAATTTTCGCGACATTACATGAAGTATTGTCAGAGTTATATCGAATTTGGTTTCAGGCTGGTGGAAAAGCAGGCAAAGATTCTGGCAAGGCAAAGGCCAAAGCAGTGTCGCGATCGGCCCGTGCTGGACTCCAGGTAATTATCGTTAGACGTGCCGCAGCGTGTCAACGTTTCCTACGGGAAACGTATCGGATCGTGCATATCTATCTATCTACTAGGTTATCTATGCTAATTGTTGGTTATGTTTTTGTTTAGTTCCCAGTCGGCAGGATCCATAGACACCTGAAAAATCGCACGACGAGTCACGGTCGTGTCGGCGCCACGGCTGCCGTCTACTCCGCTGCTATCCTCGAATACCTGACTGCCGAGGTGAGTCCTACAATTTCCAATTTATTTTTAGGTTATGTTGATACAGTGCAAACTCGCACACAATGCACAACAAAAATCATCACTGAAATGCATCTGCTCGAATACTAAACCTACTGTCATACAGGTTCTGGAGTTGGCTGGCAATGCCTCGAAGGATTTGAAGGTGAAGCGTATCACTCCTCGCCATCTGCAGTTGGCCATCCGTGGAGATGAAGAGTTGGACAGCCTCATCAAGGCAACAATCGCTGGTGGTGGTGTGATTCCCCACATCCACAAATCCCTTATTGGCAAGAAAGGAGGCACACACTCCCAGCCCGCTTAGAGTAATTCAAACTAGAGTAATTACAATGTACAAAATTTATGTTTAATCTAATGTGTCGATGATGTGTTTTAATATTGTTTGGCACATTACAATGCCATACAAGAAATGAGAAGGAAAAAAAAACAACTACATCAACATCTTAATATATATATATTATATGAATAACATATGGAGCCAAGTAATATCCAATATTGCATTTTTTATACTCCAATAATTTTGCTATATTTTGATTTGTTTCTTTTCAACTCTGTATTTTTCTTATACAAGACGACTCATTAATTTCTTGTTTCTATTTATCCCCTCTTTGCATTCATTTCCGTTCAGCTAAATGTTACATTCATTTTAATTAGTTCAACAAAGTTTTTTTTGTTTTTAATATTCCCATCTTCGAGAATGAAAGAAAACTGCTTCTGTTTAAATGTGCCTTCATCTCTCCACCACCCACCCCCCTTCACACAATTTCATGTACTGATATAATTAATTTTTTTTAAATATAATTTTGTTTCCTTGTGAATGAAGAGAAGAACACACACACCCTCCAAAAAAAAAAGAAATTATGAAATAATGATTTAAAAAAAAATGATATGTTTAGATTAATAGTTATTATTATATATATTAAAAATATAATGAAAAAAAAAACATGTTTGTTGTTGGAACAAAACGAAAAAGAATTTACTGCTAATTAATATTAGACAAAAAAAATAAGTTTTTTTTTCAATGTGTAATAATTAGTATTTAGCTTGTATTGATATTTTCTTTTATAATCTATATTAATGATATATATATATATACTGATAAAAAAAACAAGTGAAAAATATGTATAATTTTTGTTCATAAGATCATTTCATAATAAAGTAATTTTCATAAAATATTATTTTTTTAATTAGTGCGAAGGCTAGGTTTCCAATTGTTTTCTTAAACTATTGTAACGTTATTGTCTTGCTAAATTGTATAAAGTCTAACTGAAATCATGTGCATTGCGAAATTAATATCTGAAATATTCAGGTTTGTTATTAAAATTGTAATTAATATTTCACCTCACTAAATTTAACATTGTTATTACTAAGTTCTAAAGTAATATTTAAAATTTGTTACCATATATTTCTTCAGTAATTGTAATCTTGATTATGTGATAATTCTTTATTGTTAATTCAACTTTAGACAACATTTAAACTCCAATAGGATTGAGCAAATATAATTGTTTTTGCTGAAGAACTTTATGTATCTCGTAAGTATGCTTTTATTGATATGAATTTTATGTTGTTCTTGACTAAAAGTATAGAATTTAAAGAAAACAGTATTGATTTACAAATTATACAAATTGTCAGGTAAGTTTGAACATAATTTTATATTGATTGAAAGTTGAATTAGGACGAAATCTATATTTTTATGTATGCAATCGATTACTATAAATATTGATTATGATTGTTTCTTACGTAATATATCGATCACGAGTTACAATGTTAATAATTTAGATTCAAGTGTAGCTTTTTTCACAAGTTGATTTATGTGTGAAAACTGGATTTGTTTAATCTTTAGATTATGAATTGTAAAGGTAGAATATGTGAATTTAAACTATTGTTTCTATATTGATTTAAAATTAAAGTAGGCCATCATGATCAGCCATATTTGATGTTAAGAAGATCTAAACAATTGCAAGAAATATTCAAGTTTTGCTGTGGGATTGTTAAGGAAGCTCTAAAATTAAATGTTTGTGGGCCAGGAAAAAAAGTGTAACGCATTATATAATTGCACAAAAAAAAAATTAGAAATAATTGGAATATTTTTTGAATTTGCAGATTCCTGTAGTCCGGCTGTAAGAGGTGAGGACACGCAAGCGCTTTTAGTCTTCTCGGATCTTTTGATCAACTTTGCGCATGTCCTCGCGTTTCGTGTCAGTCACTCACGAATTACACATTCCGTACGCTGGGTCATCCATCCCGACAACTGTTCTCTGGTAAGTCGGCGATTCCATCGCGCTCTCTCTCAAAGAAAAAAAAAATCGTAGTCAAAATTTGCATCCTCAAGGTATCCGCGATCCGCGCCCCATCGGTTAAAGAAAAGTGCACGATTCCAAGCCCCGGCGCCTTCCGGATCCATCGTTCCAGTTATTTTCGCGAGTTTTCCAATGGGAAACGGAGAAAAAATGGATCGGCCATTACACAACAAGCTCGTCGTCTCGAGTGATTACTTAACCAAAATCCAATTGGATTCCAACTCGAACGACGTTGGCCATGGAATCGATGCGCTTTTCTTCTTCCTTCGTGGGGAGACAAAATTGTTTTGTTTTTCAAATTCATTTCATCTATCCATCCGATAAAAAAATTTCCACCGACATTCGTTACGTAACCGGGGCAACCTTCTTGGCTGTCAAAAATTCTGATCGAAAAATCGTTACGTTTATGTAACGACTGTCAGTGGTCCGAGAGAAACTTCCCAGCGAACGAACGGCCTTTTATACCATTCTCGTTTAACTCTTTTTGCAGGTTTAGTTCGCTACCGAAACACAAAAAAACACACAAAATGTTCGCCTGTGCAAGATTGATCGCCCCAGCTGCCTTCAGGAGCGCCGTAAGTATTTCTCTTCTCTTCTCTTTTGTTTTTTGCATTGCACCCCCTTTTTTTTAATGCCGCAAATCGCGGTTATGTAACGCCCAAGATCGCCACCGAATTATTGATTTTTCGGCAACTCTCTGATTACCTAACCACTTCAGCCATGTTTGAATGGAATTGTAAGCTGTTCATTCTAATTGCATTACATTTCCAAGCTTCTTCATTCAATTGGATGTAACAACACAAGTTTTAAGGAATCATTGGAATTAACTTTTTCCAAAAAAAAAAAAAGAGTTATAATTTTCCCTCATTACATAACTGATCTTGGTGAAACATCTCATTATTGAACTTGAGCAATTATGCAATAAGCTCTTATAATCTTTATAATTAAAGAAAATCTTTAACAATTGCTATAGTAAAAGTCAAAATTTAGGTGGATATCAGATTGTGTGTGGCATGTTACATAACCATTCAACATGCACAGCACACTCAAGTTCATATCTCACAATCCAATTGGATTTTAGACATTGCTCTTTTCTCTCTTTCTTTTTCTTTTTTGATGCTCTGATTTTTCTAAAACGTTCCATGATAATACTCGATTCACAAAACAAGCATTCAATGCATGCTCAAGTAATCACATGCCTGATGATTATATAATTTTATTATGCAATTACTTTTTATTTTGTGTGTGTGTGAATTTATTTTAATTGTTTATTTGTTAACTTTTGCAGCTCATCAACAACTCCAAACAATACTTGAGACCGCTCAGCAGTGTTGTCAGCCAGAGCCAATCTTTAGTCCAAAGCCCAGTTGTCCAACAACACCAGAAACCAACTTTCTTACCTGCTGTCCGCAGTTTCCAAACCACCCCAGTCACCAGGGACATTGACTCTGCTGCCAAGTTCATTGGTGCTGGAGCCGCCACAGTAGGAGTAGCTGGATCCGGTTAGTATCTTTTTTCTTTTATTGATCAGCACTTTCAGATTGTCCCATTTTCCTAATACAGTCGTCTGCAATGCATTAACCCGTCCTGGATTGATCCTTTTTTCAGGTATCGGAATCGGCGTAGTGTTCGGTTGCCTCATAATCGGTTACGCAAGAAATCCGTCGCTGAAACAGCAACTGTTCTCCTATGCGATCCTGGGCTTTGCGCTCTCCGAGGCCATGGGACTCTTCTGTCTCATGATTGCCTTCCTGATGCTGTTCGCCCTTTAATCCACCACACCCATATTCCTCTGTGTTCTACCTGTGTTTAAGTTCTTGTAACATAAGACAAATATTAATTACAAGTTATATATATTTTTTGGAATATCTCGAGTAATTATTATTATTATTACTTTTTATTTGTGTCATGCGAAATATAAATGATTGCTAATTTTTCCGTTTGATTGTACAGGTGCTGGTATTGGATCAGTCTTCGGTTCTCTCATCATTGGTTATGCCAGGAATCCATCCCTCAAGCAGCAATTGTTCTCATACGCCATCTTGGGTTTCGCCCTTTCCGAGGCTATGGGTCTCTTCTGTCTTATGATGGCTTTCTTGCTCCTCTTCGCCTTCTAAATCACTGCCATCCAGAAGGGCGTAATTAAATTAATTAAGGAAAATTAATTTTTAAACACCACCACCTCATTGTTAAAAAAAAAACAGAACATCAAAAATATTTCTTCGGTGATTCCAGTTGCAGACCATCCGAGCAACGGCAGCATTAATTCAACAACAACAAAACCATAAATTATGTGTTTTTTAATTAATTCTTTAAATATAATTCAGCAATAGAGCGGACTTTATAATTTTGTTATTTGTTTATTATTATTATTATTTCTTTTTGTTTCTTGCGTAGAAAGAAAGGCTCTGAATATGTACGACGGTGGCCAAAGAAAAGAAACGAAAAGTGTTCGAAACCTACTTTGTAGAAAGTTGCATCCAGTGATTTTGGGCTTAGGTGTTGTGTAGTAGGGTTCAACGAATATTCATCCCCGTTTTCTTTTTCTTCTTAATCTTGGCATGTATTTACAATGAGTTTTCGACTGTATCTATGTGTAACATGAGAAGAACAGCAGCTCGTACATGTTGTACAGCATTAGAAATAAAATAAAAATACATTAGTTGGAAATCTTTTCTTGCTAGTAGTAGGGTTTCATTGAAAATATCGCTAAACTAAAATGACTTGAGCAAATAAAAGAAGTTATCCAAAGGTAGGTACAGTATTATATCCATCATTTTAGCAAATATCGCACTTTACATACATTAATCAATATTTTCTAATTATGAATTTTATAGATTGACAACAAATCGATATGAAGCAGCATTTTATTGCGCATCAATATATTTAACAATTGTTACGTAATAATAATTAATTATCGATAACTACGTTTGTTAAATATAGCTATAAACACTAATTACAGGTAAACCCACAAGAATTAAGGTAGATATATAGAAAAATAGATTTATTAACATTATTCTGAATTGGCAATCGAATTATTTAGGTTTTTTCAAAAATAAACAAATTTGAATATATTTAGTACTAAAATTTAATAACAGATCGCTCTTATTACAAATATTCAAATCAATTATTTTAATAAATAATTAGCAGATTGCATAGCCACGTGAATAGTAATAATTTAAATGATTATTTCATAATATAAGCCAATTGTTTATATAAATACTTGAGGTTTTAGGGGAAAGATAATCTTGCAGCTCCAAAATACACGAACTAAACTATGATTGTACACCGACAGGTGGCTCTAATACTAATAATTAAATTGGTCATATCTCAAAATCTAATTATAATTTAATTAAGTACAAAGCATTAATGCAATTATATTTGATCAAACTTTAATTTAGCATGAATATTTATATAAATTAGTACGTTTTAAAGGAAATGGATTTTGTACAGCGCCAAAATGCCTGAACTACAAACTTCGATGAAACGCCGATAGGTGTCTCCAAATTTGATCACGAAAGTTATGTGTATGTTTGGTTGCCTGCATGTAGGCGCAAAATAACTATTCTGTTTCTGTGAAAGCTAGTGGCATTTGTTAGCAATATCTAACAGGAAATCCACAGGAATTAAGGTAGGTATATAGAAAATAGATTTATTAACATTATTCTGAATTGACAATCGAATTATTTAGGTTTTTTTCAAAAATAAAAAAAATTTGAATATAATTAGTATTAAAATTTAATAACAGATAGCTCTTATTACAAATATTCAAATACTATTATTTTAATAAATAATTAGAAAAATTACATAGCCACATGAAGAGTAATAATTTAAATGATTATTACATAATATAAGCCAATTGTTTATATAAATACTTGAGTTTTTAGGGGAAAGAAAATCTTGCAGCTCCTATGATTGTACACCGACAGGTGGCTCTGATACTAATAATTAAAATAGTCATATCTCAAAAGATAATTATAATTTAATTAAGTCCAAAGCATTAATGCAATTATATTTGATCAAACTTTAATTTATCATGAATATTTATATAAATTAGTACGTTTTAAAGGAAATGGATTTTGTACAGCGCCAAAATGCCTGAACTACAAACTTTGATGAAACGCCGATAGGTGTCTCCAAATTTGATCACGAAAGTTATATGTATGTTTGGTTGCCTGCATTTAGGCGCAAAATAACGATTCAGTTTCTGTGAAAGCTAGTGGCATCTATTAGCAACATCTCAAAGGTTGTAGTTCGAGCATTTTGGCGCTGCCCAAAATCCACTTCCTTTAAAACGTACTAATTTATAGAAGCAAACTTGTTAAAAGAACGATTAAACGAATCTAATGTTACTACTTTAATCTAATAAGTTATGTGCTAATTAGTTTTCGAGTTATATGCGTTATAATTAGGACAAGTAGAGCCATCTGTCGGAATTTTTAGTAACTATAATTTGAATTGAGTTGCGTGGGTGTAAGTAATACATTAGTAAATTTCGAATACATTTACTGGATTTGGTCTTTATTCTGCAATGTTTTTTATGCAAACTTTTTTGCATTTGTATGGCAAACTTTTACACTTTGAATAAATGTTTAAGTTCAACATCCATAAATCATCCAAGATTGTTTCTCTTCAGAAAAGTTAGAACAGAGATTACAACTATCTTAAATTTGTTATTGTTTTAGGAAGTGCGCTCATGCAGAATTGCTATACTATCTCTAACGATCATGTATAAGGCAACAATAAATCTATGGTTGTTGCTGAGTCCTATTGAAGAAAGAAATACTTTTAGTCTCGTTCTGGGGTTTGATGAAAAATTACATTTTTGATTTTCCAGTATTTTCACTGCACCTGCCACTCAGAATTGTTATACTATGTCTAAGGAATATGTAAGAGGCAACAAAAGATGAATGGGTTCTGCTCAGTCCTCCTGAAGCAAGAAATACTTTTAGTCTCTTTGTGATGAATATTCCTTTTTTGATTTTCTATTATTTTAACTGCACATGGCACTCATATATACTATCTCTTTAGGATCATGTATACTATAGATTGACATTAAAGAAGTAAAGTTTTTGGTCACATTCAACAGTTCAGGTTTCCACTATTTGAACGTGAAAACTGCTACTGCTGGTGAAGAATTCCTTCCACTTTCCAATACATATATTAAGTCACTATTTCAGTATGTTATATGAAAATTGTTTTGTTCAATTTAGCCGCTGATATATTTTTTCTGAAAATAAATAACTTTTGTCATCATGTTGATGTGATACTTGCCCGAAATGTAATGTTTTCCGTGCAAGGTAATAGAAGAAGCAAGCAAGTTATTCATTAAGTTAGCAGAACATTTCATATTAAAGATCGAATCCAATAAAGACCTTTGGAGTTAATTTGTACACTGAGAGGACCTTCTCTGTAACACTAGCTGTCACACTGACAGTAGTTGTCAGAATGACAGTTCGCTCACTCACACAAACGTAATTGGCTATATTATTAGAACTACCATTGCATTAGAACTACCGTTGTATTGGAACTACCGTTACTAGGAGCTCAGATACCTCCTCGCTACTCCTGGTCTCCTGGTGCAAATTGAAATTTTATGTCATTTTAGAGATTCAAGGAGGGGGGGGACTTGCGTTTCGATTCGCGAAAACCGCAGACACATTAAAGTTTAATAACTTTCTTATTAACTGATCAATGTTAATGCATTATATATCAAACGAAAGCGAAATAATTATTCCTTGTTCCTATAAACCAGATTTTTAAATAAAAATATAATGAGAGTTTTTCCAATTTGTTGCAATACCTTCACGTTTTTTAAATTAATTGATAGATACTCGTGTTAATTAGTTTATCAAATATGCATTTTCAATGATAAAAGTATGGCCATTCTCGTGTTATAAGCAGTCAAATGTGTGAAAGGGCTCTTTTCATAATCGAAGTTAAATAGTAAAGAAAAACTGCCAGTACATATTTATTAAGATTTTTATTTTGAAAATTCGTTACAAACAAGATTTTATAAAACAAAAGATTTCTTCTCTAATAATTAATGAGTTTTTCTAATAAGATTTCCAAAAACTACGGTGCTACGATTCTTGTAAACATCTGACGTACCAATTTACGCAACTCAATATGTAACAAATATCTTCTCATAGCAAACGAATGGATGATATCAAAGAACTGCAAGTGGGCTCGTTGGAAACGTGAGATTTTCAGCTTTTATTTGAGTATAAGTTGTTGTAATTTGCTTCAGGGATACTCGAGCTCATTGTCATTTTCGTGTTATCGAAAGTGAAGATGCTGGAAAGGACCATCTTCTGTCTATTTCTTTTTATGTTCAGGATAATCATTTAATTCAACAATAATCGTAAACTGGAGACCATCACCTTTTAAATGAATCCGCTGAAAAAATTATAGCATTGATATTTCGATTTTGAAAGGTTCTTCAGGAATTTAAGTTTTCTAATAAATTTGAAAAACATGTTTATTAAGCATTTTTCAATTTGTTGTAATAATTTTACGTTTTTCAATTATGTTAATTACATCATAAAACTTGCAATTTAAAAATAAAACAATGTGCTCAATCGCAGATACATAATAGAAGGCCATCGCGTGTTACAAGCTGTGAAAAATGAACTATCTTTACGTTTTACATAAATAATAAACTGTAGAATATTTATTTTGTACTAATAACTATATAAATTGTATTTTACATTTGTCCCTTCTTTGATAAAAACGTGTAGTATGTATAAGTACCTTTGAGTATCTGAAAACAAAGTTATAGAGATATTATGAATTTATTTCTTTGGAGTTAATCACACCTGCAAGTATGTAGTTAAATTGAGTGGCGCGAATTTACCAACGGTGAATTCAATGGTCCTTTGCATTCTCATAGTATTAAACACCAGAATTGATTTGATTGATTTCGTACAAGAATACCATTTCATAAAGTATATACCTTCGGTGACCAGCAAAGCCTAAAATAACAACAAAAAAGAGTAAAAACTATTAAATTTAAACAGTTTATGCAAAATTTATTTACAGAGTTTGTAATTTCACATGCGTAAAAGCAGTATAAGCTTAATTGCCAAAAAAGAGCCAGCGCGTATTGGAAACGACCGTAAGCCTCGAGACTCAGAAGAGGTTCCTAAAGAAAAGTAATTATTATCCAAAATATAGTTTAACTTGCACAGAAATAAATGTTACTAAAGACATGACGTAAAGGCAACTAATCAAAATGCCTATAACCGAAATAGCCTCATAGAGCAGGGGAATGAGGTATAAGTCTTTTAGGGCCTCGCAAATTCTAAAATAAAATAATAATTAATAAGATGTTTACGAAACCATTTGTACTTCACCTTATTATAGTTTGCATATGTTTGGTAACTTTCAGCACCTCCATTTGAATTTCCGCTTCCAACTTTGGATTTTCTGAATCCACGATGGTTTCATAATCTTCGGGTAAACCCAAACGCACCAAACATCGTTCCCTTATAGTCTCGAAAGTCCCTCGGATGCAGTGGAAATGCGCTCGTAGATATGCCAACATAAACACGAAATTTACATCAAATGCTGCAGCAAAAATCAGTTAAAAACAAGCAATTTATAAATATATATTTCGTTAAATTTACCACCAATTAGGTAAACGTACGTATTCATGGGAATGCTTTGGACGATAAACTCCACTATGCACCAATTCAATGTAGCAGATCCGAATGGGAATACCGAGTAGTAAGGCATGATCTCTTTGCACGTAACGTTTCCAACTTCCAATTGATGTCTCTGATCAATGAATTTAATGCTAGCTTTGAACTGATTGATTAAAGGTATCAATGAGCCTACGAAAATGTAAATGTAACAGATCCTGCTGGTGAACGTGCAATGGGCGAGAAATATGTTTCCCGGTTGAAATTCGCCGTAACTCTCGTATTTTATGTCTTTGATTATCCTCATCACCTTCTTGATCAGCTTCATATTTGTAAGTAAAAATACTAATTTAATCGTCCCAACGACGTGCACAAAGATCATGCCCACATGATCCACGAACACGTACAAACTTGATCTGCTCGTGTAATAAAGCATCAGCAGTTCGACGGTGCTGTAATAAATGGGACAAGAGGCGTACACGAACAAATTGTACGCTCGATGGAATCTACGTAGGAAATTGGTCTTCGCATAATTCGGATCGTAATAACCACCAATTTTAAACATGAATATGGCGAACGCGAAATAGTGTTTCGGATACATTTTTCTCGAAGCAAATGCATCGGAAGTGCATCAATATTTGTTTTATATATTTACCAACAACCATTAAACTATGCAAGTTTGATGAGAACAAATTACAAAGCCGCACGTAAATAATATGATTCTTTAAAAAGGTGCAATTAACATTTTTTTTTTATTATTTCTTGCCTTTGTGTTGTTACATTAATATTATATAGAAACTAATATTATTCGTTCAAAGAACTTGTTATTACTTATAGAATATTCATGAACTCCTAATTAATACTAATTTATTTTCTTTTGACTCAGAAACGTGTAGTACGTGTATGATCCTTTCAAAATCTGCAACGAAAAAATATTTTTTTTGTAAATATATATTAAATTTCACTTTTTAATGCATACTTTAACGTAAGTCGACATGTTGAGGGGAGCAAATTTCCCGACGGTAAACTCCACCTTTCTTTGCATTCTCATCATGTTAATCATCATCGTCGTCTTCACCGATTTCGTGCAAGAATACCAGTTGGCTTCATAAATACCATCAGCCACGCTCAAAGCCTATTAACAATTACAAATAAAATCATAATTTTCTTTGTTTCTTCACTCACAGCATTGGTAATTTCCGATCCTTGGAAACAATACAAACTCAATTGAAAGAACAATCCAAGCGCGTATTGAAAACGCGCGTACGCTTCTGCGCTGAAGAGAGGTTCCTAAAACCAAAAACTAATAATTGTTCCTCTATTATAAAGGAAATTACTATTCACCAATGATATAATATAAAGACAGCTGATTAAGATCCCCACTATGGACATGGCTTGAATTAACAGAGGAATAGAATAGAACGATTTCAATTCATCGTGTAGTCTAAAATTAAATATCATTCGATCAAATCTGAGATTTGGGTGAGGATCTATTACCTGATTATTACTTGGAGATGGTGGGTGATTTTGCGAACCTCTGTTTTAATCTCCATCTCAAGTTTAGGATGTTGAGAGTCTTTGAGAAGTTCGTAATCGGTTGGTAAATTGAGTCTTACCAGACACCTCTCTCTGAAGGTGCTGAAGGCGCCTCGGATGCAGAGGAAATGCGCTCGAAGATACGAGGCAAAGTACGAAAAGGCAATGTCGAAAGCTAGAATAAAAATATAGCTTAAATTTAGTGATGATAGTTTGTATTTACGCTTCACCTGTAATGAGATACACGAATAAGATCATGGGGACGGTTTGGAAGAGGAAGGCGTATCTGCAGGATTCGTATGTTTCCGTTTCGAAAGGAAACCAGCAGTAATACGGGAGAATATCCTGGCAAGTCATGTTTCCTGCGTCTATTGAATGTCCTTCCACGATGAAGAGCTTCAAAGCGGATATCTGGTTTGAGATTGGTACGAGTGTGGCTGTGAACATGAAAATCCTGCAAAAGATCTCGTTGAACTTGAAATGGTTTTGCAGGATGTTTCCCGGCCGAAAATCTTCGAAATCCTCGTAATGAAAACGTTGATCTTTCAGGACACCCATCACGTCCTTGATCTTCTGGCGATTCAACAGTAACAACACCGTCTTCATGTTTCCTGCCCAATGCACGAACATCATACCAATGTGATCTATGAACATGTACAGACTTTTCTTCGTGTAATAAAGCATTACTAATTCCACTATGGTATAGTAGATCGGACATAGCAGGAACAAAAACACGTTGTAGAATTTGAAGAAGTATTTCCAAAATCCATTCGTATGATCCGAATCGTAGACACCGCCCAACTTAAAAGCGGTCATCACGAACGGAAAATATCGTTTCGGATACATTTCACGTGAAGAAGCAGAAAAAAAAACTTGAAATTTTATCGCTTCCTAATATATACGCACCTCAAGATCCGCTTCCTTGATCCATAATTAATTATCTTTGTCTTAATTAAAAGGTCCTCTCATTTAGTACAAAACGAAACTAATTGCGCCTTCCTCAATTATGAATTTATAAAAAAAAATACAACACACGACATTTCAGTTCACAAGCACATTTTTTATTCTCTTTCATCATATAACTTTCTTGATGTTCTTCAACATCGACGACCTCACCAGAGCGCTCAACTTGACGCTGTCCTTGTTCTTCGCGTACCACTTCAACCACTCGTTCACCTTGGCGTTGCTCTTGTCCCCGTGCGTTTCCATCTGCTGGTAGTACGTTTCCCTTATTAATTTAAAGCATCTGCTGTTGTGATATGGCAGACAGGTCAACGGGTCTATGTACTTGGCAGGCATATTCGTGATAGTGCACTTGACTTTCGGAGCGGGTCGCAGTTTCACCCGTTTCTTCATGAACTTGTCGAAGACCTCGTCGTTGGGATCGTTTAGGAACGAGATCAGCGTTCGTTCATAATACTTCTTTTCCTCTCCATCTTTAGTTTCATCCCTGAGAACAAAATAAAAATCAATTTAATATAATAGAAAACAAATTAAATACAAAACATACACTTCTTTCTCCTTAACGTCGTCCAATTCTTCGATCAGCGGCATCCTCAACGACTGATACTTAATTATAGGTCCATTATAAGTCTTCTTGGATATTTTCTTCGTTTTCTTTTCATTCTCCAGCTTCTGATATTTCTCTACAAAAAAATAAAATGAAATTCTGAACTTATTTGATTATTTTAAAACTTTACCTAACGATTGTATATTTTCTTCTTCTGTAATTTTAGCCTCCTCCAACAACTCTTCCTGAGTTGGAATCCACTCCTCCTCTCTGGCCCTTTTCGGTCTCCTCTTCTGCTCCAAATTTCGAACTTTAATCCTCTGTGCAGTCGCCGCTGTTTTCGCCGCCGTCGATTTTCGTATCGACTTACGTTCTACAAACAATCTCAATCAATAAATTCGAAAGAAAAAAAAACAAACGAGAATTTTTAAATACCACTTATTTCTATGGAAAGTGAATGATCCTTTCTTGGTGGTCTAGGAGTACTGACTTTTGGCCTAGGTGGCTTCACTTTAGGTTTCTGTTTATCTTGTTTCTGTACTGGTTCCTAAAAAAAAAATGCATAATTTCATTGAAATTCCCTTCAACAATTTACAATAAATACCTTGTATGAGCCTGTGACCACCCTCCTCTTCTTCTTCTGCCCCTCAGCATCTTCATTGTCAGAAATAGGTTCATCATTTTCATCTATACTGAAATCTGAATCAACAATATCCTCATCATCTCCTTCAGCCCTGAATTACAACAGAATTAGTATTAAGTTTCTCTCAGATTTTGTAACATTCTTACTCGTATTCATTATCGGTTTCAGTTTCCTCAAAGCCACCATAGTTGGTTTTATAAAAGTCATCTTTGCATTCCTCCTCTTCATCGAGAAGCTTTGACATGCGGTTACCAGCATTGTTTCTCCTTTCTCGGTTCATTCTCTCTGTAAATGCAATACAATAATGTTAAATGCTTTAGGTTAATTCTCAAATAAATAAGAAAGCTTTGAATGTCAACTGTATTTGGAAAAACAAACAAAACAAATTGAAGAGCCAAAAACAGAGCAAAAATCACCTCAAACATATATTTTATAGTGGCAATGTAATTGTCTCAGCTGTATCTTCATTGGGTGAGTTACTAAACCGATAGTTATGACTAGCATATATAAATATATCAATGGGTTTGTTTTTGACAATTGCGAAATACATTGACCATGCAAATAAATTAAAATATTTACATGTAATTACATTAAACTCTTACCTATTTTAATTTACTATTTATTAATTGAACACCTCAAACACAAACATAAACAAAGAATTACAACTGTTTGACAGACACTGCAGCCAATATCCAAAATAAAATTTTAGAATATAGTGATTAGTTTGACCTAAAAATTAATATAATTACAAAAATTTATACATAAAACTACTTAAAATAATATTAGTAAGTTGTTTTGTTGAAGAATTGTTGAAAGTTTTACATATTTAAGAAAGTTTTACACATTTTTTTGAAAGTTGCCAGCATTGTAATACCTATTATTATTGTTGTTGATAACTTTGTTGTGGTGTTCTTATTAGTCTGAACTCCAAATATTTGTTGTGTAAGCTTAAATTGATTGCTGGTTAAATCAATGAGTTGATAAGTGATATTATTCTATCTCTGCTTAAGCTTCCTGCGTGTTATCAAGAATGTCACTACCTGGAATTGGATTTGTGTTCGTCGTTGGTGCTGCATTGGCCAGCATAGCTTATGCTGTATACTACCAATCGTCTAGGCGTCCACAGGCTTATAGCAACAGCAATAAAACCTATTATTATGCAGGCTATGATACTAAGTATTAAACTCCTAAAACCCTCTGAAAGAATCTTCAATAACCTCTACATTATTTTCAGTGCACCACCTAAAAGTGATGAAAACAACTGTGCAATTTGCCTTAATGAATTGATATCTGATGTGAGGCAATTGCCATGCAAGCATATCTTCCATATCAAATGCATTGACAGCTGGACTGAGAGGAACAGGATCTGCCCAATATGTCGGAAGTCTCTTTGAAGGTGACACCAAAGAATATGTTTACACCAAATCAATTTTTATTTTTTATTTTACAATTGTTAGCTTTATAGTATATAAAGTATCATACATTTACAATTAATTTGATGCGTAATTTTGGCTGGCACATTTCTATTTGTGCTGTTGCTTATAAATACTTGTTTCATATAGTAGCTAAAAGAAATGTTCAGTTTATTTTTATATTTTAACTACATCACTGCAAGTGTCTTAGAACTGATCACCATTGAAAACGAAAAATTTGTGATATTGGGAAGTCGTCCATAAATAAATTGTAGCTAATAATGATAATTATTAAGTGTAAAGTGCACTTGAGAATGCATGTTTTGTCTGAAAACTCGTTTTCGTTGATATTATTGTTTTCTTGTTAACAATAATTAATAAAAATACGTGATAAATAAATAAGCAATTCGTTATTATTTTAGTTTTATTTTTATCACTCTATTGTACTGTTTCACAAGGTGCTTAAATGACATCAATTTCTTAATTTAGAACAGTAGTACAAATGAATTCATTTGAAATAACTATACGTGTATATAAAGTTGCCTAAATGGTTAAAACTTGTTTTTGCTAATAACGGTGTCTCCATCTGTTGATGCATTTATTTTGGTTATATAATGCTCTTACAGATTTATAAATTAGACTTCTTTCAAAGAAATTGGCATCATTATGATTGTTTTTAAAGGTGTATAATTACTCACAATTTCACAAGAAATACAATTTTTCATTTTACAAAATAAGGCAAAAACATATTTTATTGATTTATTCAGGTCTTTTGCGGATCTTTTAATAGAAAAAGTATTACCCAATACAAAACAGTAACTGCAGAAATTTTTATAAATTTTATAATTGCAACAGGAAAAGTCTTCTATCAGACATTATTTGATTAATATACGTGAAGAGATATAACGTTTTTTTTTTCATTCTCTGCTCAATAATTGTATTATATTTCATCTATTAAAAATTTGTAATTATCAATAGGAAATGTTAATTAAATTAAAACTATAGATTGTATGAACTTGATGCCGAATGCGTGGATAAATTGTGCAAAATAGAATTGTTATCTCGATTAATCAAATTTTACTTTGCTGCGCCTGTAGATAGATGTAATATAAAAGATATATGTTATTACCGTTTTATCTATATTCCATATTTACGTAAAGGCTATATAGATATTAACATTGCGATGCGCGATTAAGATTATGACACAAAGGAAATTGAAAAATTATGGATGGAAAATGAAATAAATAGTACAATTCCATGGTGATACAAACGAACGGGGGGTGTAGTTTTTGTGTGTTCAATTAATGACCAGTTGTCAAATAGATTAGTCGTCGTTTCGTAGGTAATAAAGGTGTATTAGGAATAGAGTTGATGGACAAGTGAAGCGACCGAATATTGTGCATAATACTAATAATAATATTTGTAATCGGAGCGGTAGCATCTCCGTTGAATAATTGAAATATGGCATTTGAATTGTTGCTGCCATCATCGTCGTCGGCGCCGATAGGAATCGCATGCTGTAGCAACAGCAGCAGCTAGCTGGAAGGTGCAGTGGTAATAAGCGGTAGTCGAAGAGACGGCGCCAAACTGAAATGGTCTACGGGAACCTCCACTACTTTCCGATCGTGCTCAGCATATGGTTTCTCATTACTTTTATCACACTGTAATCAAACACTTCTGAATCGATACTTTATTAAAGTGGAGTAACTCGTTGCCGCTGCTGCTGCAGTTACTTCTTTTTGTTAATTGTTGTCCTTGTCTTCTTTTGTTGTCGCATGTCCATGATTTTCCTCTAATTCCAGATACATAATGTCGGTGTGCATGAAAGATGTCGAGCCGATCTTTCCCTACATCAGCGATACCGGCACCTTCGTCCCGGAGAGCTGCATATTCGGACAGCTATTGAACACCGGCTCTATTATTAGTAAGTATGACCCGAAACAATCGTCCAACGTGCTGTTGTTCCGTGTCCGATCGATAGCTTACATAAAACCAACACCAACACGACACACGCTCTACATTGCAACAATTAACACAGTTTACGTGCTAAAAGAAAACCAACAAGAATATCTCATCTTCATGTCTAGCCTATCCACGTACCATTCTTTAAGATCCCAAATATTTCAAAGACTAATGCAAATTACATTCAGGATATAATTCTATATTTTTACGTTTATTTAAACAAATTTACTTTCATTTTATTCTCATTATCAAATATAAAACTATTTGTTCATTAATATTAATCAAATTTTCAAATGAAAATAAGAAATTTGATTAAATTAATCGAAATTACATTTATTTAACATCATGATTTCTTTCGCCATCATTAACGTCCTCGAAGTTATAATAAGTTATCTAAGCATAAATTTAATCCAATTTAATAAAAATTGTCCTATTTTATGTTTACATCCACTCTGACCCTCAACGAACTAGTGTTTTTTGGCTTTGATCCAAACAAAAAACAAAATATATGGAGCGAAAGCAATTTTATCCTTTTGTTGTTATATCTGCACGTTCTTTTACATAGAAGAAAACAGATAACTGAAACCATAAATTCAGTTTAATATGGGAATCTGACAAGCTTCGAGCCAAGAAAAATGTAGAGAATCGAAGCGTTTTATATAACATTTACACTGTTGATGCAATGCTTTAAAATAGTAACAGTTTTGTGAATGTTCAAATTGATTTGATTTGATTCTAGTAGATTGAATTAATTACAGACACACTTTTGTATTGATTTTGCATTTGCAGTGGGCATAGTGTTTTACATACGATACTTGCAAGTGAAGGAATTGCACGAGTCGTTGGGGAAGACGGCCGAGGTGAGCGGAAAGAACAAGGCATGTCTTCATATGGGCTGGATGGCCTCGTTCGGAGTGAGCGTCGTCGGTAATTTCCAAGAGACGAATTTGCTCATCGTTCATCTGATTGGGGCGGTGATGGCTTTCGGTCTCGGATCCGCGTATCAGATAACAATGGTAACTCGAGTTTGCGGAATCGAAAAGGGTAAATAAGCGAAATTAAATCACGAATTTCTTGGCTCAGTGGAGGGTGACGGTGCTAACGGATCCGGAGTCTCGGTGTCTGCGAAACTTCCGGTTCGTCCTGTCCATGCTCAGCACCATCGCGTGCATTGTGAGCTTCTCGTTCGCAGTTCCTGCCGCTATCCAATTCACAGGTGAGTGAATCGCAATCATTCCATCGAATTTTGCACAATTGATAAATATAAATAAATGGGTTACGTCGATATTTTCATTTTTCACCTCTCCACATAATAAATCTATAATCATTAAACAAGCATATTAGCTTTCAAATTTATGCAATCTTTTCGCAAAATTCGAAATACAAATATTGTTACGTACTCTAAATTAATGTCCAACATATATTCTATAGAATACAAGAAAATATACACTTTTCCGTTAACAGATGCAAATACAACAGATAGTAGAGATCCGTTACATTATTGATAGAAGTTCTGTAAAAGTTGTTTTTTATCATGGTAATAACAATCATGTATTATTTATGGGACCGTTTTCCATTCATATTTTATGTAAAGTCTTCTTCAGCGCGTTTTCTTTCTTCTTCTTTACGTTAAAATTTTCGGTTCGCACACGCGAAAACTTGCCACGAATAAAATTTGCATCCGGAAAGTGTGTATTTTCCACTTCCCCTTTTCTTTCTCCTCTTCTTCTCACGAACACTTATTCATTATTCACGTAATATTCTTGTTGCGGTCCATTCCTGAATGTTTTCTTTTTTTAAAACACATTTTTTGTTTCATCAGAAATCAATTTTTCAAGTCTCAAAATTTTGTTTGATGATTTTTTAATTAAAAAGAAACGATTTGTTAACAAAAATACACATAACAATTATCGATTTTCGGTATAATGCGAAACTGAGTGTTTATAAAATTGAATGCGATTGAACTATTATGTTTTAAGCACGTTCCGCTGAGAATGCTTTTAAAAATGTGATGGTTTGAAAGCTTCGGTAAATTGGCGTAACATTGATGCAAAGAGAAGAGGGGTTTCTATTTTAGTCGTCGCATTATTTTCCTTTTTTTTTCTTCTTCTTGTGTGTCTTCGTTTGCAGGGAAGGATCTGACGAAATGGAAGAGGGAGGACGGAGGTTATACTTACCACTTGTTGAGCACGTCCTTCGAATGGGTCTGCGCCACCTCCACGATGTTCTTCATCCTGACGTTCGCTCCCGATTTCAAGAAGATCTCTCTAGAACCTCCGAAGATAAACTTACTATAAATGTATTCAGTTCTGTTAGTTTCTTAGGCAATAATAACAAGTTGATTAATATAAGCGTTACGAACCGACCGACTTTAAGTTTAGTTTGTTGCTGCATACGAAGATAAATGGTAACGGCTTAATCTAAGCAGAAGCACTATAGCTGATGGATATAACCGCACATCATAAACATTAAAGCGCGCGCAAAACGTTACGTGCATGCAAATTGGCCGGCCGTATCTGTACGTTACGTTAATGAACGTAATCTATGCATCTACGTTGCTACGTAATGTAGAAAACGTGCGGATGCGCCGGGTAATCGCGGCCAGGATTTATATTTACACCTGCAAACGGAATATGTATATATATATATATAAACCCATTGTGAAGAGTTCGTGGGACAAATGGGCACGATGATCTCTTCCTATTCCACCTACTTCCTTTCACTCGGTGATGGATCGCCGCAGGAAGACATTAATTACGTAAGGCCATCCATCAAGCTCATCCGAACGCAATCAATTATTTGCACGTCCAGCGTCCAGGACGACAAAAAAAAGAAAATAATACTACGCTCATCCCCATAACGGCCAGATGCGCTTTTAATAACACCTAATCCATTAATTATCCATTTTCTCTCTTTTCTTATTCGTTAACAATCAGTATGTATCATGGATGCAACGACTTTTGTTTTAAACAATTTATAGTGGATTCAACGAAACGTAAGTTCTGAGGGTGTTAATTATACGTGCACGTTAAATAACGGTGAACGGTGATAAAACAAAATGTGTCACGGCAGGAGCGTTCGCAATTAATTCAAGAATGAAATGCCGAGTCGCGTTTCAATGTAACGTATGTCATGAGCAGTTTGCACATTTCATGGAAATAAGTGGAAAACCATTAAAAACCAAACATGTTTTGCAGCAATTATAAAAATTCAGTTATATGATACATAGAATGAATCCAGAAGATGCATATGAAAGCTGAATGTTTGGGGAATGTAGCAAGTATTCATATATTACTGTGGTTTTATCCGTTTGGCTGTAATTCGCATTCAAAGTTGAAAAAATGCTCGAAAAAGCAGTGTTTTCAC